AGGCAGGAGGATCTCGGTGATTCTGAAGTCAGCCTAGGCTACATAGTGATCCCAAGGCCAGACCTGTCTCGAAAAAACCAAAGTAGAAAAAGACAGTTAAGATTCAAAACAAAGTCTGTCTGCAGCTCTTTCTGTTTTGTCTTGACCACCTCTTAGATGTTGCGCAGGTTGACTTTCGGATCTGCAAATCCTGTCTCTGATCCAGCCCCCTAGAGGCTGTCACTGAGGACTAGCTTCTGTGTGGTTTGGTAACACTGTACTGCAAATCAGCTCCTCATTCAGAAGGGGCTGGTTTGGGGCTCCCTCCCTGGGTGCATGGGAAGGTGCGTCTGTGAGTGCTGAGTGGAAGTCAAGCACCAAGTCCGGGCCCCATGCTTGTGCCCCAGGCGCCTAGGGACCAGGGGCCCCAGTGGGATTAGCCAGCAAACCCTTGGTTGAGGGGTACTGAGCATGTGCACTGCATGGCCCGTTTGATTGTGCAGCCCCCTCTGGCCATCAGTGAGCTGACCTCAGCCTCAGGACGCTCTCCCTGACACCCAGCAATACAGGGTCCCCGCTCGGCACGCACCAGCCACCCCGACACCGCTGTCCACTCGGGTCCTTCTTTCCCCCCACTTTCCAGCATAGGGAGCTTTACTGTGTGGGTCACACACTGCGATTCCTTCTGGTGTGAAACCCCACGGCCGGCTGCAGAGCATTCTCATCACTGGCAGAAGAACCCCCATTTCTCCCCGGTTCTTTGGTCCTGGCAGCTGGAGCCCCCTGCCTGCCTCTGGAGATCCCCGTTCCGGACACGGACTCTTCTGTCTTTTGTGACTGGCTTGGCACCTTCCTCAGCACTGACTCCTGCAGTCACGGGAAGACTTTGCACTGAGAGTTCCCTCTGTCTGAGTTTGGAGGAGCCCCCAAGCCTGGGCGTCTGGTGCCAGGGACTGAGCTGCCCAGGGCACGGCTCTCTCTGGAGGCCATGTGTCCATCCCCAGTGGCAGGAGTGAGACACAGAGCCAAAGCCCTGAGGTCCCTCCTCACCCAGTCTTGAAGGTGACATCCGGTCACTCTGCCAGGCCAGGCTGTCCTGGAGCTCGTGGGGTTCGCTGGGGGCTCAGGTCCCCTGCTAGCCTCCCCCAAAGGACCTGGTCATGGCCCAGTGGGCAGCTGGAACCATTCGGGGTTTCTTCTCTCCTAGGTGGGACCTGGCTGGGGGATGAAATGTTGGGTGTCCTCCCTGGGCCTCCACGTGGTTGGCACTGTGGCAGGACAGCGTGGACAGTCATGCTTTGCCTCAATACTCACAGCTCTGAAAGCCAGCGTTTCTGAGCCCAGTGCCAGCACCTGGCTCTCCTGTCCAAAGCGTAGTGTACCTGTACCGGGTCTTTTGGTCAAGATGGTCAGAGCCCGCCCGAATTTAATGGGGGGAATGTTAAAGAATTTGTTACTGCATTCTTCAAACCTCCGTAATATGCTGGGTGCAGTGAATTAAGTTTTATTCCCAGCTACTTGGGAGGCTGAGACAGGAGGGTCACATGTTCAAGGCCAGCCTACTATCTTAGTGAGACACTGTCTCAAGACAAACACAGAAAAGGTTGGGGACCTTGCTCAGTGGACATGGGTCCCAGGGACCAGGAGCTATCCTGCTGGCTCCACCCGCTCTGCGAAGCCCCAGGCTGGGACCAGGACTTGAGCTCAGGGGCCTGGGTGTCTCTCGGGTACTAGTACTACCTAACTGTGCGATTCAGGAAAGCCAGCTGCCTCGGAAGCCACCTTTGAGCACAGGTTGTTTCTCTCAGTTTCTCTAACACATCAGGAGATGTCACAGGAGATTCTAGAAAACCATTTCCACAGAGCCTGAGCTCTGGCCTGACCCTTGACGGGGAAGGCACACATTCGCCATGATGTTGCTTTCCCTGCTCTGACTTTCTCTCTGGTTCACCGCGGAACAGCTGGCCTGTCCCATACACAGAGGGTGTCTATAACAGATAAGGTTTATATCTAAGATGTCCCCAGAGCCCGGGGTGGTGGTGCATGGCTGTAACCCCAGCACTTGGGAGGCCGAGGTAGGAGGGTCACCTAGAGTTTGAACCCAACCTGGGCTGCCTAGGCAGACCCTGTCTACAAACAAACAAACAAACATCCCAGAAGTCTTGTTGGAGGAAGGGCTTTGGAAGGTGACAGGATGGTGAGGATCATGAGTTAAGCCCCTGATGAGATCACAGTTATCGCCTTGTGGGAAGAAGTGGGTCACGGTGGGGTGTGACCGTGGGGACTCCATCTGTCCTCTGCCTTTTCTTCTCTGGCTCTTCCCCTCTTTCTCTGCCTCCCGGGGGGCAGGAGTGACATCCCCTGAGAAGCGCAGAGCCATGGGACCGGCTATCCATGGACCGAAACCTCACAACATAACCCAGTCTTTCCTCCTTGACTCTTTTCTGGTGTATCTGTGCACAGCAATGAAATGCTGACCGCCCAAGTTAAAGGACTTCATCCTGGACCTGGGAAATCCAGACTCCCAGACACAGGGGCAGGTAGGGCCCACTTGCGTGTCCCCTTGGAGGGACTCTTACGCCCCACCATTGATCCTTGCCTCGGCCAGCCAAGGTCAGCCCAGTGCCCTTTCCTACCCACAGGGACCGCTCTGGAGACCTCAGGAGGGTCCCACATCTGGAGCCAAGTCCAGGGCTGCGCTCCCGTAACCACACATGCTTTCTGGCCGACTGTGAATGAGTGGACAGCTTGAACCAAGGGTCATTTTCTCTCTGCTCCCCAAACCCCAACCCTGTCCTGGGTGCCAAACTCTGGGAGCCACAACCAAGGGTAAACTCTGGTCTGAGCTTGGGAATTTGACTTAACAAAAATGATTAACATTTTAATTAACTTTGCTATTTAACTACCGTTGAGCCACTTTTCTGAATTCAGTGGAGACTGAGAACTCAGAAATCAGTGAAAACATGTAGAGATGACAGCAGGTCATCTCAGAATTAGGCTCCTGCCCCCTGTGCTTTGAGAATAACAATGCCAAGGGAACCGTGGGGTGGGGTGCCCTGCGCTGGCCCCCGCTACCCAGGAGGCGGAAGCCGGGCATTGCTGGAGCTCAGAAATTTGAGGCCAGTTTGGGTGACATAAGGAAACCCCATCTCAAAAAACAAAAGGCCAAAAAATAAAACACCCCCCAAAATAGAACAAAACAAAATTAAGGGAACAAGGACAGATTACACAAAAAAATGGAGGCTTCCTTCTCCCTTGAGCAGCTGCTTGTGCAAAGACCCCTCCTTTCCTCATATACAGACATTTCTCACATAACAGCCCAGATGTTCAATGACTATTAGATTTACAGCCTGCTGCTTACTTACAACCTGTTTTTTTTTGGGGGGGTGCAGCTCTGTTACCTTGCTTACAGAGCCTCAATGTCTTTTTTTTGTATGATAACCTGTTCCCATGGTACTGTAATTGTTGATTTTTTATGTAGTACAGTAGTGGTTTCATGCTCTGTTATACACTGCAGTACTGTGTGTGAGACTTATACAAATAAAAGCAAAGTTATCGCAGGGTGTGGTGGCACACGCCTGGAATCCCAGCACTCGGGAGGCTGAGACACAAGTATCACCAGGAGCTGGAGGCCAACCTCGGCTCCGTAGTGAGTTCAAGATCAGCCTGCACTTCCAAGAGAGACCCCCATGTCTTAAGTCACTTTTCTCATGGCTGAGACAAAATATCTGACACCCAAAATTAAAGGAGGCAAATTTCATTTAGCTCCCGGTTTGTAGAGGTTTCTGTCTCTGACTGACTGGCTTTCAGACAGGGTGGACAGCAGTACCTGGTGAGCAGAGGGCAGCGGAGCAAGCCCGGGGCCTTAACAGCATCTGTCTGCCCCTTTTATTGTCTATGTAGGCTGCAGGTTAGGGCAGTGCCAAACCCATCAGGTGAGCGGTTTAGTAATCACACACCCTGAATCCCAGCATCACACGTCTAGACCCAGCCACCTCTGAAAAAGCCCACCAATGACCCCATGAGACTTTGGGGGGACGTTTAGATACAAGCCGTAACAACCTGTCTCAAAAAAAAAAAAAAGAGGGGCGGAAATTTAGGGGTAGGGTTAAGCACCTGCCCTGCAAGCAGGCAGTCATGAGTTCGGGGATGATCCCTGGTACCGATAAAAAGGAAAAAGACAAAAAAAAAAAAAAAACAAAAAAAAAGAAACTCCAAAAAATCATCAAAACTGGACTCTCTTCGTTCCGAATACTGTAATATACATACTTAATACGTCTCCTGGTCTATCAGTTAGCAACCAATTGATTTAGCAACCTAATAGAAGGGAGGAAACTGGTCCTTTAACCAGGAGCGCCTTAATTGAAAACAAACATTTCCCTGCTTCGTGGTTGGTTGCCTCTCATTTCCCCTGACTGTAGCCTTCCAGGTCTGCTCTGGCCACACCTAGGAACTCGGTGGCCCTTGTGAGTGTGAAGAGGAAAAGCAGATTCAGCAGGGCGGGGTCTGGGCTGCGAGTGGGCAGCAGGAGGAGGCCTGGACTGCAACATGGCGAGGTGACCGACCGGGAAGTGTCAGGAGAGGGACGAGGACACATCAGCTCCCTGATTCGAGTGCCCCTGGATAGAGCAAGGTCGAGAGGTGGCGGCAGGAACACACTTGGTTTCCTGATAGTCCTGAGGCCTTCCGAGGACCAGCTCCTTTTGGCCATAGCAAGCCGAGGGGCAGAAACCTACATTTTTTATTTAATCTGATCTTCAACTGTAGTGAAACTCACTTATCTGTTCTCTATTTATATTCTCACCTGGTTTCACAAACAACTTAGAGGAACCAAAGCTGTGACGAGCAGTCGGCAGAAGGATTTTTCCTCTCTCTCTGCCCTAACTAGTTGTGTGACCTCAGACAAGCCGGTCTCTTGGTGTCTGCCTTCCACGCAGGACCACAGTGTTCTAGACACTTCCATGCACCTCCTTGTCCCATAATTCCCTCCAAACAACTCATTGTGCTCTCTGTCTTTCCAGAATTTGTCACTGTGCTCTCAGCACATCTTTCAAATACAGGGATGTGACCTTTCGTGGTTTTTGCCATTTCAAAGAATCTGGGATTCTCTTCTGGGCTCTGGAGAAACCGGTGGCTGACACCTCTAACCTGTACCTCCAGCCAGGTCAGTGGGTTCCATTGCTTGTCCTTTAGTTTGATCTCTGTTAAGATCCATGCTGGAGAGCAAACGGGATCTCCCTCCCAGCTTGGGGTCCACTGCAGGCCTGGGAGAGGAATTCAGGAGCTTGTCTGCCTTGATTTTGGTGGTGGCCTGGCACTGGATGGGTGCTGTCCAACTGGGCAGGCACCTAGGTGGCCGTCAGGGAGATAGGAGCCTCTGTCTGCCAGTCCAGGGTCTGGCCCTGACTTTGAGTGACTTAGTTCTCCTTCCTGGGGCCTCACCCACTGCGGGTGGCCTGCAGGGGGGACCCCTGTTCCACACCCTGGCTGAGTCACCCGCCATCCCCAGGCCCAAGCCAGAGGTGGAGGGCGCAGGGCAGAGCCAGGCGCAGTACCCACCCCCACCCCCGGCTGCTGAGCAGGCCCTCACCCAGTGGCTTCTCTGGCCATGCCAAGCCAGGCCCGCCACGTGCGTGGCAGTGTGTGGGGCGCGTAGCCTACAGCGAGTGTATTTACAAAGCCGCGCCTGTGTGCAGGGTCTCCATTGGGGGGATCTGTCATCCCTGGCCTGGGTGTTGGAGATGCAGAGGCTGCCGAGGCCCGTGGGCAGCGCCTGGCCTGGGGACCCCACCTCGGACTCTGTGCTTCCGGTGTCACCCGGAGTGCACTGGCCACGCTCTGGGCTTCACCTAGAGCGATTAAAAGTCCCGTAAACTATGTCTCCACCCGCGGGAAACGCATGGGAGGATCCTGGTCCTCACCCACACTGCGCAAGGCCACAATCCGGAGCTGTGGATGGGAAAGAACCTTCTAAGGAGACAGGGACGCCAGAGAGCAAAAGGGCTCTCTGTTCACGGGCCGGCTGCAAACCAAAGCCGCGCGCGCCCGTTCCACCGCCAAGAGGCTGTGTGGATTGGGTCTGGGTGCAACATGGACACGAGGGTGCAGCCCTCGACTTCCGATCTTGGGGTTCATTCACACACACACACACACCCGCCAAGAGGAGCCGCGCCTGCCTGCACCGTGGGAGACTACGAGGGACCCAGGCGCACGAAAAGTGTAGGGAAACCTACTTATCTGCACATCGACCTAGAGGAGCCCCAGCGGATAGGCCCTGGGCTGGGGAGCTGCCGGCTGCCTCGGGTTCGAGCACAAAGCCAGCGCCTCGGGTGACTCGGTGACTCCGCTGCAGCCTTCCTTGGGTCTGGTGCTGCGCGCCTCCTGGGGCTGCCCTGGGATGCGGGAGCGGCCCGCGGCCCGGCAGGCAGGCCGCCTTGCAGATCGCCTTGCAGACGCTCCTTCGGTTCTCTGGTTGTTTTGGAGCGCGGTTCAGCCAGGACTGTGTGCGCGCACTCGGCGCAGCGCCTGGCGCCCGGGAGCTGAGCGCGGCCCCGCCCACCCATCGCCGTCCCGCCCGCGCCCCGCCCACCCGGCGCGGCCCCGCCCTCCCTCCGGCCCCGCCCCGGCCGCGCCCCTCGCCGATGTCTGCTCGCCTGGGCCCCGCGCCCTCCGGCCCTGCGCGCCCCGCGCCGCCCCCGGGTGGCTGGCGCCCTCCGGACACCCCCGGACCCGCCCGCCGTGTCCCCTGGACCACCGTCTCCAGAGCCCGCGCCCCGCCCCTGGCACCAGCACCCGGTACGGAGCCCACCTGTGCGGGCGTCTGCGCCCCCCGCGCCCCATCCACCGTCCCGCCCCGCCCATCCTGGGCTCTGGGCGCAGGGTGGGGTCACCCGGTCCGGCAGGGCGGGAGTCAGGACCCCGCTGGCGAGGGCGAGGCCGAGGCAGGGGGGTCGCGCCCGCCCTGGTCCCCGGGCGGGGCAGCGATGCGCTCCTCCGGGCCGGCGGCATCCTTTGTGCCTCCCGGGTCGCGATCCCGGGGTGATCCCGGGGTCCCCGCCGCCGCCCGCCGTGGAGAGAGCAGGGCCAGGTCTGGGACCACTGTTTACTCTCCGGACCGAGCAGTTCGGTGCCGCCCTCCGGCCCCTCCTCCTGCCCTGGTTCCGGACCGAGCATCGCGCGCCCCGTCGCCGTGTCCCCCACGCCGGTGACCTCCCCAGCTTTGCCCTTGAACCCCGGAGGGCTGGGGAGGACGAGCCGGGTGCACAGGTCCTGGCGGCCTCCTCCGCGGACGCGCCTTCTGCGGGCCGGCTCTGGATTCTGCGCTGCCGCCCGGTTTCCTGACCGGGACTGAGGTCCGGTTCTCCCCGCCTGCCCTCCCGGTCTCGCCGTGCCTCGCGCTTTGTCTCTGCTGCGGGCTCGCCGTCTCCAGGGCTGTGCCGTGCGGAGGATGAAGTTGTGCCCTCCTGGGCCTTGGGCCCCGGCTGCTCCTCTGCTAGCAGCTCCTGGGGAAGCCCTGGCCGTCCTCCCGCATGCCGCTGGAGGGGACGGTGGACACGGCTGTCCTCCTGGGGTCAGCAGCGGGGGGCCCAGGTGGCCCTGGGAAATGTGTCCCCTTCACACCCACCTTTCCCAGTAGGCTCCCGGGCTCTCCTCCTTCCCGGAGAAGCCGGCCCTGTAGATCTGCGCACCGGCCCGGTGGGCTCCAGGCTAAAGTTCTCGCAGGGCGAGCGGCCTGGGCTGGGAGGTGACTCCTGCTTCTGGAATTCGCCTGGCCGAGCCGCAGCGCAGCGCTCAGCTCCGATCCTTTTTCCCTCTTTGGGATCGGATTCTCCCGCCTCGGTGGTGGAAGAAGCCCCTCCCCTCCCACCTTCCGTTTCATCCCAAATGTGCCTTTAGCCCTGGCTTTGAAGCCAGATCCCCACAGGGACTGCGCCCGGGTTCAGGAACCTACTTTTTGCAGCTATGAAGTGGAATTTGAACCCAGGCCTGACTCAGATCAATCACTTTGCTTTCAAAAACCAAACAAAACACAGAAAGAGCTCTGAAAAGTGCTGTGAGTCATCCAGGAAATGCCCCTGTGGTTTGCTTCCATGCCACCCAAGGGAGCTGCGGTGGCATCAAGGCAGGTGGCGAGAAGGGCTGATGGAGGGAGCTGAGTGGGATTGGTTTGTCAGAAAGGAGACCAGGCTGAAGCTGCTGCTTTTGAGCTAAGTCCAGTCCGAGATTGTGCACCAGGTCCCTGAGCACCTCGGTTCTAACCCACTTCTCATGCTTTCTTTCCAGATATCTAAGGAGCTGAAGAGCAGGCATGTGGGATGACTCTCCCTGATGTCCCTGCACCTGTGACCTGCCAGGCCGGGGGGCCGTTGCTGGGGCTCTTTCTAGGCCCATCCCGGAGAGGTAGGTTGGGGACAGGAGCAGCATCTGGAGAGAATGAGGGAGTACTGTTTTGCAGTACATTAAGAATTTGAAGCCAGGCGGGGCATGGTGGTGCACACCTATAAGGTGTGAGCATTTGGGAGGCTGAGGCAGGAGGATCCATGTGAGTTCTAGGCCAGCTTAGTGAGTTCAAAACCAGCCTTCACCATAAAGGAAAATCTTGTCTCAAATATCAAAACAGAACAAGAATTTGAACAAAACCCACTCTCTAGCCAGGAAGGACTTGTCACACCCCAAGGAAGAGAGCAAAGAGGGCCCCAAATTCATGCTAGGAGCAAGCGAGGGGAAGTGAACTAGACCTCAGCCGGCTCCCAAGAGGAGGCTGTGCTGCTGGGGGATCTGGGGGCTCTGGGCGAGGGGTGCATCTGTGAGCTGCAGCCTCCGGCGTGTAACTGTCCCAAAGGTGGGGTGCAGCAAGGCTAGAAGCTGGAATTGTGGGTGAAAGTGTGTGCTACAGTCTCTTTACCCCAGGAGTTCAGGCCTCATCAGGGAGAGAAAAAGTGAAACATTTTTTCCTTCTTGGTCACGGATCACTTCTAGAAATTAAAGTGTAACTGGAAATGGAGTAATCTAGGAGGCCGAGGCAGGAGGGTCACACCTTTGAGAACAACCTGAGTGCTTAGTGAGACCCTGTCTCAGAATGAAAAATTGGAAATGGACTGGCATGTAGTTCAGTGGGAAGGTCCAACACCCAGCATCCTTCCAAATAGGTAAATATGCAAACATTCAACCTGTAAATCAGATAAAGACAAAACTACTGTGGCAGAAGGAAAGGCGGACACAGAACTTGCTTTGCTGGGCGCCCTGTCTCCTGCCTCCAAGTTGAACGGATCTGGAGGTTTCCGGAACTCTCCAGAACTCTCAGCTGTGCTGAGTAGAGGTGTGAGCCGTGGGTCCTGTAGACCTGGCTGGGGAATGGCGTTTCCTCCACACACCTGTTCAGACGTTCTTGGTCCTTGTTCCAGAATGCCTTTTAAAAATAGTTTATTAGGGCTGAGGATTTAGCTCAGCGGCATAAGCGCCTGCCTTGCAAGCAGGCAGTCATGAGTTTGATCCCTGGTATCGATAAAAACGAAAAAGACAAAAAAAAAAAAAAAGTTTATTTTTATTATTATTTGCAGTTCAGACACAGAACACAGGGTTTCCCTAGGGTGCCCAGGTTGGCCTGGAACTTGTGATAGATGTGGCCTCCGGTCATAGACTTCTTCCCTGACTGAATGCATACCATTGTCTCTGTTCTGTTTCAAAACCCACTCAAATGGAAATATAGAGTTAAAAAATATACAAAGCCTTTAGAAAACAGAGTAGTAGCCTGTGGTGGTGCACGTCTGTAATCCCAGCACTAGGGAGGCTGAGGCAGGAGGATCACAAATTGAATTCTACCTAGGTAATTTAGCAAGACCTGGTCTCAAGAAAAGGAGAGGAGGTACTGGGGACTTAGGTCAGTATGGGGGTTCCAGGAAAAAGAAAAAAAATGAAATTAAGGAGAGAAATTATACAGGAGAAGCTTCTAGAACCAAAGACACTTCTGAGTTAAAAGAAGCATTTTTGAGTAAGACCCAGCACCGTGAGCAGAAGACCACACTTTAGGGGCTCACCGTGAATTTCTAGAACTCCAGATATCCTGCCAGGGTGGGACAGCTGCTCTGGAAGCTGAGGTAGAAAACTCTCTTGAGCTCAGGAGTTCGAAACCAGCTTGAGGAACAAGGAAGGCCCATATACAGAAGCTCAGGGACGGTGGGGTTGGAACACAGTGCTAGAAGCTACAGGACAGTGGGCCCGTGCTGCCGTGTTTCTACAATCAGTTCCCAGAATTCTGTCATTGTCATTTAAGAAAAATAGCACATTAGGGAGATTGAGATGTGACTTTCCCAGAACATCACCCCCTTGCTCCCCTGTTCAGTAGCTGCTGGAGGACATTCGTCCCTGCCCGCTGTGCGGCTGAACCAGGAACGCAGCCCAGGTGTCCATCAGTCAGTCTTACCTTGAGCCTTGGGGTCGGGTGGAAAACACTGCAGCAGCTTCGTGTGTGTGTTTTTATTATTAGAACTAAATGCCTGAGGTTGGCTACTTAGGAAGAAGAGAGGTTTATGTTAGCTCACGGTTTGTGGGTGAAACAGGGAGACAGTGTGTCACAAAATAGTAATTTTTTTTTTGTCTTTTTCCTTTTTATCGGTACCAGGGATCAAACTCATGACCACAAAATAGAAAGCCAGAGCAAAGCAGGGTGCTGGGCTTTTATATAACAGCTCCCACTTCAGGGCGCCCTTCCCAGGGCTCCCAGGCGGCCCTGCCCCTCAGTATCCCCATGGGCAGACCAAGGCTCTGTCACAAAGGTGGGGACAAACCGTGTTCAAACCACAGCTAGCGCCAGCCCCACCACGGAAAGTGAAAAGGCCCGCTTCTGAGCGGCCGGAGCCAGGACCTGTGACCTGGGCTCTGTGGCTGAGACTCCGCAGTGTCCTGGCTGGACGGGGGATAGAGCAGTGTGGAGTGCGCTTGCCCTTGGCTGTGCAGAGGCAGCTACGTGGGCTGCAGGGTTGAGTTCTGGGGATGGAAGAGCCAGGGCACACACTGGCGCCCAGGGCTGAGCTGCAGTAACACAGCTTTGCCGTCAGACGTGATTCTGCTCTGTGGTGTCCCTGCAGGGTGGCAGTTCTGTTTCTTTTGCATGTTAGACTTTTGTGTTTCCTGGAGTAAGATCGCCTCCTTGTTTTATTTGCTTTTGCTCTTGTTTGTTTTTGTGGCGCTAGAGAATTAAAATCCCGGGCAGGAGATTTAGCTCAGCGGCATAAGCGCCTGCCTGGCAGGTTCGAGGTCGTGAGTTCGATCCCTGGTACCACAAAAAAAAAAGAGAGAATTAAAATACTGACTTCATCCACATTGATATTATGTTATATCTCCAGCAAAGCTATGAGACGCCTTACTGTCAGAACATTTGTCAGATAATCTGTGGCTCCTTTGTTTGGATATTGGGCATCAGACGTGGGTCTTGAGTGTGCTGGGCACACACACGCTCTGTAACCGAGCTACACCTGCAGGCCTGAGGCACTGCTGTATTTGCTCTTGAAGACCGAGTGAGTGACCGTAAAGATAGTGATGAGAAGACCTAGGAGAGACCTTATCCAGCGCATTGGGTCTGTTTAGATCAAAAGGGCCAAGAACCCCAAGAAAGCTATCTTAGGAAGCGATGCATTTTATGGGCTGTCTGGCCTGTTTGCTGTGTCGGGAGGCGTTCTGTAGTTCCGCTGAAGAGTGTGTGTAGAGTTATTGATTTGTACATAGAAAAACAAAGTTAAAAATTAGGCGACTGTAAGCTACAGGAGAAGCAAAAAGTTGAACAAAAGAAAGAAAATCATCGAACACTGTGTGGCTTAGTTTTGAAAATATTCACATTGTCATCACATAAATCCGGAAGATGAATTTAATAAAACTATCACTTAGAAGTTGTCTTATGTTCAGAAAATGAGGAGCGGACTGTGCGTATCGTATGTACAGGACAGCACAAGTTCATTTTTTTTTTTAAGATAAGCTCAGAGTTGAAAATCAAGTTTATTCTGTGGCTGGGCGTGGTGGTGCGTCCCTGCATTCCCAGCACTCTGGGAAGCTGAGGCAGGAAGATTGCAAGTTCAAGCCCATTCCGGGCCACACCGGTTCCTCTCTTGCACTGGGCAGGTTTACCCTGCTCCACTGTGTGTCACTCGTGTTTATTAATTCTCTTTTGCTTTTCACAAGGGCTCAAGGTGGAGTTTGCCTCCAGTCTCCGAGGACACTTTGGACTTGGGCTTTTCAGCAGGGCCAGAACTGATAGGGCTCGCGCAGCTCTTAGCCGGGGACTGAGGGCTTTGGATAAAGGCATGAGAGGGAGTCCTTCAGGGGCCGGGAAGAATCTGGATTGTGGGGGCAGAGAGCTGACTTGCTGTCAGGAGGGGGTCTGGTGGGAAGAGCTGGTCACCGGTGTGGGCTGGAAGGGGTCAACCCCGCCCAGCTCCCTGTTTCCTGGCCTTGATGGGGTGCTGTGAGGCCTCTCCTCTCCTCTCCTCTCCCACACCGCCCTGCCCTGGGGCCACCTTCCCGGGAAGGTGTTGGTATCGGTGTCTCAGCAAGGAGAGAGTGACTAACAGTCTATCTAGCCATTTCGTTTTTTATTTTTATCACTTGCTCAAACAGTACCTAATGAGCATCTTATACCCGACTCAAAAAAAAGTACCAGAAGGGCCAGGGTTGTAGCTCAGTGCGAAGGCTTGGGTCCAACCCTCAGTGCCGAAAAAACAAAATCAGGACCAATCAGTTCCCTGCCCGACAGCCTCTCTGGTCTCGAGATGCAGTTGTAACAAAACCTGGCGGCAGACTCCTCAGCTCCCCGTCACCTACCTGTCGCCCTGAGGTCTGTCACCTGGGCTGCCACCACCAAGACTTTCAAGACTCTTTGGGCTTTGGTGGCCCAGCACAGGCTGTGCCAGGAAGCAGCTCCAAGGGGAAGGTGGCTGTGGACTCAGCCCCAGCAGATGAGCCTGCTTCGGCCTCCGTGGAGCTGGCCAGGACACGAAGCTGGAATAGACAGCTGTTTTGTTTTCTTTTTAACAGTACAGGGGAGTGGCCTTCATGCTGAGCTATGCCCCAGCCCTGCTCTTATTTTTTGATTTTGAGACAGGGCCTTCCTGAGTCACTAAGTTGCCCAGGCTGGGCTTGAGTTTGAGATCCTCTTGCCTCAGCCCCCGAGTGCTGGATTGGATTCCAGGCGTGTGGCCCCTCAGCCAGTGTAAAAGAACTGTTTGAGGCTATAAATGAGTGAGGTGGCTGCTGGTTTGCACCCACCTTGCCTGGGCTAATGCAAGGGAGGTGGACCGTGTGTGACCACCTTCTAGAAGTTTCTGTGACAGGCACCTTCTCTTGGGTGAGTTGGTTGGTTCAGCTCTGAAATCCAGATGTTGGATCTGCAAGGTGAGAGGGTCTAGCAGGGGTGCGGTGATGGCTCCCAGGGACCCGTCTCATCCCGCTCTGCAGGCCTCGTGGCCACTTTGCAGAGCAGCCTCTGAAGAAGCAGCGTACGTGGCCTGGGTTCCCTCAGCGAGGAGGACATTGGTCACTTGGACAAACCAGACCCAGCTTCCCCTCCCCTCTTGCCCCAAGAAGAGGGGACTTGTGTGCCCAGTCCCTGGGTTCCTGTTTTGTGTGAACACACGTGACTCGTGACATGCCGCTGGGCCAAAGGCCCACTCCTGTGGGTCTGCCATTGTACGGCTGTTTCTTGGACCCTGCGTCTGGAATTGGGGGATTAGAGGAGCTGAGGTGCCCTGTGCTGCGTTCCTGGGTCGGGCTGTGGCCAGCGGCCCTGCCGGGGTGAACTATCCACTGCTGTTGGCACACAACACGGTGGCAGTGTGCAGTGACACCCACAGTGCACCTTTCCACCTCTGCTCACGCACATCCAGGGGTCTCAGGCAGGGCCACGTGGACCCTCATGAACACGTCCTCCAGCTCCTCCGGGCCCCCGTCCCTAGAGGGTGCAGACCTGGCATGGACTCGAGGGTCCTGGGCACAGTTGTGTCCCCCTCAGTAGATGGCACCAGTTTTCCAAAGTGGTTGCACTACTCGGCTTCCATGGGCGGGATCTGTCCCTGGATTTGCCAGTGTCACTGTGGGGGTCACAGGTCTGGCTTCACTCTGGGAGAAGTTGGTGGTGCTGTGCAAAGAGCCGGAAGGGACCGCTGTGTCCTGCTGCACCGTCCCTAAGTGACCATCTCTGGCGGGTGACGATGACCTCTGCGTGCTGCCGGAACCTCCGTGGGGAATGAGGTTTTTCTAAGGAGGAGTTTCTCTGCGCCCCAGCAGGGTGAATCCAGCAGATTCTGGAGTGCTGCAGGGTGCAGAATCAGGAGTGTCTCTCTCGGAACCTGGTCAGAGTCCCCAGGAGCTTGAGCCTGGCTGATCCAGTGACCATGTGACGTCCCTCTGCATGCTCAGCATCCTGTGTGGATTCTCCGGGGTTTCTGACTGCACCCCAGGTTTTGAATCAGAGAGGAAGGCTTTGGCCTGGCCTTGCTCAGAAAGAGGAACCCTAGAGGTTGTGGTTTCACAATCAGGAAGTGACCACCTGCAGCAGTTTCCTGGGAAGACAGGCGACGTGCGGTCCCACGTCGTCTGTGACCTCCGAGGACGAGGCCCGGGTGCAGCCAGCACTGGCAGCGGGGACCAGCTCCTGAGACAGAGGCGTCCTTGGGACCGTGTCACGTAGGAGAGTGGGATCTTATAGCAGGGCAGGGTGTGGGTTTTTGTTCTTTGGGTTTTTTGCAGTGCTAGGGACTGGACTGGGCCTCACGAGTCTTAAACGATACGGTTGGCCCACGAGCGATTTTTAAACAATAAAATTCACGAAACATGAAGGGAAGAGATGGATAAATTAGACACCAAGGTTAAAAACTTCTACTCGGGGCTGGGGATTTAGCTCAGCAGCATAAGCACCTGCCTGGCAAGCGCAAGGTTGTGAGTTCGATCCCTGGTTTCTGAAAAAAGCAAAACCAAACAAAACTTCTATTGATCAAAAAGACACCAGACAAAGCAAAAAGATGATTCAAACGAGGAGATGTTTCCAGCTCCTCTTTCCCACATAGGGGTGACATTCAGGGTAGGCAAAGTGATTTTGTAAACATGAAAACAGCAACCTGTTTGGAAAAGGGTCCAGGTTATAAGTAAGCTGTCTTTGAAAGGTAAATGTTTTGTGGGATCATCAGAGAAATGTCCATTAAAATGACCTCGCCATTTCCAAGGCAGGTGTGGTCACACATACCGGTTATCCCAGCACTTGGGAGGCTGAGGCAGGAGGATCACTGTGAGTTCAAGGCCCGCCCTGGCTACACACAGAGAGTTTGAGGCCAGCCTGGACTGCATAGTGAGACCCTGTTTCTTTGAGTGGGGGGCGGAGGTAATTTTTCTGTATTGATGTGTCGATATGGCCATCTTTGGGGACATTTTGGGTTAAATAAAAATGTACAATGAAAGTTCACTTTACCTGTGTCTTTTCTGTCTTTTGGACATGGCTGCTGGTAACCCTGACATTAAGAACTGCACTCGGACGGGGCTCACCTTCCCCCGGCTTCTCCACAGAGACTTGACCACCGGAGTGTCTGCAGCGTCCCTGGAACCCCAGGAAAAGTAGAAACAACGCTTCAGGTTCATCGCCAAGCGTGGGGGTAAAGACGGGGTGCTTCCTCGACCCAATGAAATACGGGCTTAGAGTGAGGATGGGGCGCTTTGCTCTCCCTGCCCCCCGGATGCAGGCGCTTTGAGGGGCTGGGGAGCTGCTGGTGGGGGTGCCGTTCTGTGAGGTTATTTTTAAACCTGCCCAGAACCTCAGGGACCCCCGTGGGTACACGTTTGTGCGCTGAAATTATAAAACTCAACCTGGAAACTGTAAACAAGGGTGGTGGCGATCTGGGTAGGGGAGGATGCTATTGGAGGAGGGGGAGGTACCCCTGGTTGCGTGGGGTACACAGGGACCTTCAGTCGTGTATGTAGTATTGTTTACTGAGGCAGCGGGGGATGACTTGGACGCTGGGTGTGACTGAGACATTTCAGCCGTTCCCCAGATGGCCAGAGCCATTTTAAAGCCTTTGGTTTCTGGTGAGAAAGTTTCAGAGGATAAACCAGGTGTGGTGGTACCCACCTCAGGGAGGCTGAGGCAGGAGGATGGCAGGTTCCGCCCAGCCTAAGCAGTTGAGCAGTTTAATGACATCCTGTTTATTAACAAAGGAAATAAATAAGAAGGGCTGGGGACATAGCCCGGCGGGAAGGTCCTGGGTTAACTCCCTGGTACCGCAGACGGCGATGGTGGTGGTGGTGGTGTTTCAAGCCAAAGCCCTCAGGCTTTGGTCTCTCTGAGGTCCTGAAGTGTCTGTCCAGCCAGGTGTCCTCTCCCTCTGCACCCCAGCTGTGTCCAGTGTGCTGGGTCCCCCAAGGAATGACCCAGCCCTGACCTGGAGCCTGGCCCATGGGGCTGTGTTTGCCCAGCTGCTCGGGCAGTGGGCAGTGGGCAGCCTCCTTCCCTGAGGAGAGGTGGCCCAAGAATGGCCTGGAGGGGGGTGGGTAGGACTCCTCCTGTTCTGCAGGACCCTCAGGCTGCCCCCTGTCCGCCCGCAGGACAGCGGGCCTCCACTGCCGCGAGGTAAACAACACCATGCCCCCCGGTGTGGACTGCCCCATGGAGTGCTGGGCCGAGGAGGAGAACCAGAGCGTGGTGGTGGACTTCCTGCTGCCCACGGGTGTCTACCTCAACTTCCCTGTGTCCCGCAACGCCAACCTCAGCACCATCAAGAAGGTACAGCACCAATCCCAAACCCGGGCTCAGACCCGGGAGCAGAAAGATAGACAGACGGGAGGACAGACAGAAGAACAGACCAGGCATTTCTCAGACTCAGGGTCTTCCGATGACATTTTAGAAGCCAAAGCATTTTTCAAGAACGATTGGAAATTTGCAGTCAACTCCACTTATCACTGAGAATCTGGCTTCCCCCGTTAGCAGCAGAGGTTTCCCGGTGCTGGGTCACTAGATTACTAGATTCCTAGATTACCAGCAATTGACCAACAGGGCTGCACCCCGCAGGCTCTCATTTGCCCAGCTGGGTCTTGCTTTGGAAACCACACCCCATTCACGGCCACTTAGTGACTCACAGGCCTTTGTGTTCAGAAACGTCTCTGTCCTTGTGACTGTCATTCTGGGAAAGAGTTCAGGTCTTAGGGTGTAATTTGCAGAATGGATTACTGAGTCAAAGCATGGGCCATCTGGGCAGTATTTGGTAGTGGTTGTCACATTCAAATGGCCTGTGGCCAGGCGTGGTGGTGAATGCCTGTAATCCCAGCACTCGGGAGGCTGAGGCAAGAGGAGTGTTTGAAGTTCAGGACCAGCTAGGGCTACAAAGTGAGCTCAAGGCCAGCCTGAACTGCATAGTAAGATAGTAAAGACCTCCCCAGGAGCTGGGGATTTCGCTCAGCAGCATAAGCGCCTGCCTTGCAAGCAGGCAGTCGTGAGTTCGATCCCTGGTACCGATAAAAACGAAAAAGACAAAAAAAAATAAAATAAAAAAGACCCCCGATCAGAAAAGAGGGCCTGTGGTTCTTGCACAGTGGGCCTGGCGTGGGCTGCCACAGGGCGTGGCCTTACAGCTGTAAAACTGTTCTCAGGAGCAGAACAAGAAGTGGTCAAACCAGTGTACTATCCTTGAAGGGTTTTTTGGTTCCCCTTCCTGGGAGATTTCTTTAGAAATTAAGTTTCTTAGCCAGGCACGGTGGTGTACTCCTGTTATTCCAGCACTCTGGAGGCTGAGGCAGGAAGATTGAAAGTTTAAGTCCTGGCTGCCTGATTTAATGAGTCTGTTTCAAAATTAAAAAGGGGCCTGCAAGCAGCTCAGTACACAGGGCCGGGGTGCAGGCTCTAGTACCAATAGCAACAGCAATAATGTTTCTAGCCAGATGTGGGGGTGCAAACCTGTTTGTTCCCCCACTCAGGAAGCCGAGGCGGGAGGATTGCCACAAATTCATGGCCAGCCTGGGCTCTGTAGTGAGTGCAAAGCCAGCCCAGAATACATAGTGAGACCCTGTCTCAAAAGAACTTCACACCAGTCCTGCAGCCTCGTCTCATGCCACAGCTTGATTGTGGTTTCTTCGTGTTTGTTTCCATGATAGTAAATAGCTCGGTGCTGGCGGCTGTGGTGCCCGCTGCAGTGATTCAGCTCTGGGCCTGCTCATGCCAGCCGAGGCCGCGGTGAAGGCAGCCCGATGGTCCATAGACGAAGGCTGTGGTATGTGCCGGGAGCCAGGCGCTGAGCCGGACGGGCCCTAAAGCTGTATTTTGCAGCCAGGCATAGTGGGGCCCACCTGCAGTCCCAGTACTCTGGTAGGCTGAGGCAGGAGGACTGAAGTTAGCCCAGCCTATGCAGTAGAAAATACACTGGGGTTGTTGCTCAGTGCAGAAGCCCTGAGTTCAATCCCCAGTACCCCAAAACCAAAACAGAACAGAACAACAGAAACCATAGTTTGCCAAATCCTGCTCTAGAATAATGAACGTTTTCTCCCAGTTGTTTTTTCAGACACATCTCCCGGGATGTGTCTGAGGTCTGTCTGCCGCCGGAATCTCAAGGTCTTCCTCCTCTGCGTCTCGCTGGGCCGTTGCAGCCCTGCGTCTGCCGTCACATGGCCAGACCACACCCGGCCCTCCCGAGGTGGCAGCACCAAGCTCCTCCCTCCTTTCTCCTCTTCCCGGTCACCCAGGGGAGCATCTTGCTCTGAAGCCAAAGCTGTCCCCTGAGAGGCCCTGGGGACATCACCTGGAGTCTACACTAGTGGCCTTGTGCATGCAGACTTTTTCTGTGCCCCATTGGCATGTTCAACTCCTTCTTTCCTTACTTTCTTCCTCTTTCTTTCGTTCGTTTGTTCTTTCTTGCTTTCTGAGACAGAGTCTTACTATGTAACCCAGGCTGGCCTCAAACTCACAGCGATCCTCCTGCCTCAGCCTCCCAAGTGCTGGGATTACAGGCCGACGCCACTACAGCCAACTGGCATGCTAAACTCTTCTGACTTAGTTTCCAACATTTAAATGTCAAGGCAATGCCGGGGGTGACTGAAGATCACACCCATGGTCTCCCAGGGTGGCCTGCAGAGGTCCCTGTGACCAGGAGATGCAGGGCAGACAGTGAGACCGTGCGCCTGGACAGTACCGGGTGGGACCCCAGGCCGCAAGGCTGAGCACGCTGTCCCCGCAGGTGCTGTGGCACCGGGCGCAGTATGAGCCGCTCTTCCACATGCTCAGCGACCCAGAGGCCTACGTGTTCACCTGTGTCAACCGGACAGCCGAGCAGCAGGAGCTGGAGGACGAGCAGCGGCGGCTGTGTGACGTGCAGCTCTTCCTGCCGGTGCTGCGCGTGGTGGCCCGGGAAGGTGACCGTGTCAAGAAGCTCATCAACTCCCAGATCAGCCTCCTCATTGGCAAAGGTAGCCGCTCAGGCGGCCGGGGTCCAGGGCCAGCCCTGCACCCACACTGACCCCTCCACCTCTCGCCCCAGGCCTCCACGAGTTCGACTCCCTGCATGACCCGGAGGTGAACGACTTCCGAGCCAAGATGCGCCAGTTCTGTGAGGAGGCGGCCGTGCGGCGCCAGCAGCTGGGCTGGGAGGCCTGGCTGCAGTACAGCTTCCCCCTGCAGCTCGAGCCCTCAGCCAGGAGCGGGGCACCTGGTCCCCAGCCAGTCCCCAGCCGTGCCCTGCTGGTCAACGTCAAGTTCGAGGGCAGCGAGGTGAGCCCATGGCGCCGGCTTCCTGGGGATCCCAGCCCAGCTGCTGCATCCGGAATTCATGAGGGGCTTCCGCTGTGCAGCCCCCTGGTGGTCACCAGGCCCCCGAAGTCCACCCGCTTCCCTGCAACCTCAGATGCTGCGGGCTAGTGTCCGTGTCCGGGAGGGGCTCGGCCAACTGTCCCTCCAGAAGATGCCCAAATGGCACTGTCCACTGGTCCATCCGCCTGTTGAATGGTCCTTCCTGGGTGCCTTCCCCATGACCACCCTAGGCAGACTCTGTCCTCAGGAGGCCCCAGTCACAGCACTAGAGACCCTGACCTGCTGCCCGGAGCCTCCCAGCCCGGACGCAGGGGGCTAACCCTCCCCCCGCTCCCCAGGAGAGCTTCACCTTCCAGGTGTCCAGCAGAGATATGCCGCTGGCGCTGATGGCCTGCGCCCTGCGCAAGAAGGCCACCGTCTTCCGGCAGCAGGCGGTAGAGCAGCCGGAGGACTACGCCCTGCAGGTGAACGGCAGGCACGAGTACCTGTACGGCAGCTACGCGCTCTGCCAGTTCCAGGTAAGGTGGGCGGGGCACGCACGGCCAGGCCTGGGGGTCCTGGGGACGCAGTACCCGGACTGGGGCAGCTCACCCCACACCCTGCCATCCCAGTACATCTGCAGCTGCCTGCATAACGGCCTGACCCCCCACCTCACCATGGTACACTCCTCCTCCATCCTGGCCATGCGGGATGAGCAGGGCGACCCGGCCCCCCAGGTCCAGAAGCCACGCCCCAAACCGCCCCCCATCCCCACCAAGAAGGTGAGTGACGTGGGGACCTCCAGTCCCTTCCTCATCCCATCTTGCCCCTCTACCCCAGGCCAGCCCTGAGTCTGGGGCCCTTGTGAGTCAGGCTTTCACTGGAGCTGGGGGAGCTGGGGTGACTGATGTTGGCGTGGGGGGCCCCCAACGTCTGCGCCTCTGCTGTGAGGTGTCCGGGTGCCAGTCTCCTGGTAAAGCCTGTTGTTGGAGACAAGTGTCTGCGCCTTACCACTACCCTGTGACCCCTCGCTCCACCTGAGCGGCCTCAGCTGCGTCCAGGGGTGTGAGCTGTGGCTCCCTCGTCCCCTCCCCAGCCCTCCTCCACATCCCTGTGGTCACTGGAGCAGCCATTCTGTGTGGACCTCATCCAGGGCAGCAAGGTGAACGCGGACGAACGCATGAAGGTAGGACTGGCCCGGGCCGGCCGGGCAGGCGGGGAAGGAGCCGAGTTTTTTGCACAAACAAGGTGGCTGCGGCCTGGAGGGTGGCGGAGGAAGGAGAGCGAGGGTGTCACACGAAAGCCACCTGACCACATTACCCGGCATCCTTGCCACCGCCACGGCTGTGAGCACAGCAAAACAGGAAGAGGGGAGGGAGAGGCACGGGGAGGCCGATTCGTGGAAATCAGGCCGGGCTGCTTCTGGGTATTAGACTTTGGCGGGGGTTGGGGTCGGGCGCAGCCAGGGCCCAGGAGGCAGGTCTGGGGAGAGGCCCCCCCGGGCCGGTGCACCCAGGGGTGCTGCTCTCCGGGGCTCGGTTCCCCCAGCTTTCAAGGATGCACAGTAGAAGCTTGCACCCCACTGTCACTCTTCTGCGCGGGTACACATGGAGTCCCCTGGTCCCTCAGAACCATCGGTCAGGCATAGGGCTTCCTGTGGGATGCGACACCTGGACATAGCCTAGATCTCTTGCCTGGGTCCCCTACTTTATTTGGGGGGATACTGGAAATTGAACCTAGGGCTCTAGCCCTGAGCAACACCCCCCACACACACTTTTTGGTTTGTTTTGGTTTTTTGAGACAGTCTCACGTGTGGCCTGGAACTCAGAGCAATCTGCCAACCTCAGCCTCCTGAGTGCTGGGGTTACAGGTGTACTTTTATTTTTTTGTTTTGAAATTGGGTCTTGCCAAGTGGGAGTAGTGCTCGATGATAGGCATGCGCCACCATACATGGCCCCCGGCCCCTTTTTATAGGAGTAATTTTGCAAGCTGAGCAGGGCTGAGTCCACTGGTGAGAATGGGGGGACAAAGAGAAGGGGGTTTCAGGAGGGGCTGGCAGGGTGGAGCTGGGGGGTTGATCAGGCCACAGGGGAAGTCCTTCCCTTCGCCCACACAGGGCTGGCTCTTAAGACTGAAGGGACTGGGCTGGAGATCTAGTTTAGCGGCACAAGTGCCAGCCTGGCAAACACAAGGTCCTGAGTTCCAAAAAAGGACAAAGGAGGCCCCAGGATGTTAGAGCCAGTGGGGGCTCTGGAAGTACCCAGCCCTGAGAGGGAAACTGAGGCCCAGAATGGGGGAAGGGCCATGTCTGAGGTTCCACAGTTGGGGGGCAGAGACTGTGTTTCTCTCTCTCTCTCTCACACACACACACATGCACACATACACTCGGTCTGTCCCCGCCCCATGGCCTCCTGGCCACCCAGGCCACAGCCCGCCTCCACTGAACCCTGCCGTATCTGGACAGTGGACTCTGTCCCATGTGGGAGTGGCATGCATAGGAGGTGCCCGGGGTGGGTGCCCACGGCTCCGCTCACCTGTGCCCTGTGCCCCTGTTCCCAGCTGGTGGTGCAGGCCGGCCTCTTCCATGGCCACGAGATGCTGTGCAAGACGGTGTCCAGCTCGGAGGTCAGCGTGTGCTCGGAGCCCGTCTGGAAGCAGCGGCTGGAGTTTGACATCAACGTGTGTGACCTGCCGCGCATGGCCCGGCTCTGCTTTGCGCTCTACGCCGTGGTGGAGAAGGCCAAGAAGGCGCGCTCCACCAAGAAGAAGTCCAAGAAGGCGGTGGGTGGGGTGCCGGAGGCCACTCGGGGCCGACCTCTCCTGTCTCCTGCAGGGGCCAGCGCGTGGCCAGCCCTGACCCCTTGCTGTGTCCCGCAGGACTGCCCGATCGCCTGGGCCAACATCATGCTGTTCGACTACCGGGACCAGCTCAAGACCGGGGAGCGCTGCCTGTACATGTGGCCCTCGGTCCCAGGTGGGCCCAGGCCCAGGAGGCGGCAGTGTTGGGGTGGGCACCCCCCGAGCCCACAGCCTGTCTCAAACAACCCCACTTGTCCCCACATCCAGATGAGAAAGGGGAGCTGCTGAACCCCGCGGGGACTGTGCGCGGCAACCCCAACACCGAGAGCACGGCCGCCCTGGTCATCTTCCTGCCGGAGGTGGCCCCAAACCCCGTGTACTACCCAGCCCTGGAGAAGGTCGGTGGGACAGAGGGGCTTTGCGGGCTCTGCTTCTGGGGCTCTTGGGGGTGCGGGCGTCCGGGAGCCATCTGGCTGCGTGAGGACAGTGGGTCGTGTCCAGTGATGCACTTGGCTGTCATGGTGAGTGGGAGGGCACTGCCCAGCAGCCTGCAGTGCCCAGCACAGACCCCACAGCCAGAGTGCCCGGCCCCAGTGCCAAGGTGCCAGGGCTGGCTGGGCGGGATGCTGAGTGCAGGGCAACTCCTTGCAGATCCTGGAGCTGGGGCGGCAAGGGGAGCAGCGCGGGCACCCCACTGAGGAGGAGGTGAGCTGGGGCCCGGGGCAGGGCGTGGAGCTGGCAGAACCAGAGCCCTCATGCTGCCCACGCCCCTCAGCAGCTGCAGCTGCGGGAGATCCTGGAGCGGCGGGGCTCCGGGGAGCTCTACGAGCACGAGAAGGACCTGGTGTGGAAGATGCGCCACGAGGTCCAGGAGCACTTCCCGGAGGCGCTGGCCCGCCTGCTGCTGGTCACCAAGTGGCACAAGCACGAGGATGTGGCCCAGGTAGGTGCAGGGACCCCCCAGAGCCAGAGCTGGGGGCACATGGGCAGCATCCCCTGCTGCCACTGACCGCCATGCGCTCCCAGATGCTCTGTCTGCTCTGCTCCTGGCCCGAGCTGCCCGTCCTGAGTGCCCTGGAGCTGCTGGACTTCAGCTTCCCCGACTGTCACGTGGGCTCCTTCGCCATCAAGTCCCTGCGGAAACTGACGTGAGTGCCCCGTGGGCCTGGAAGTGGGCTCAGGGGCAGTCAAGTCCAGCCTCACTCCTGCCCAGTGGCCTTGCTCTGGGGCCCAGCTGCTTCCCTTCCTGCAGGGACGACGAGCTCTTCCAATACCTGCTGCAGCTGGTCCAGGTGCTCAAGTACGAGTCCTACCTGGACTGCGAGCTGACCAAGTTCTTGTTGGACCGTGCGCTGGCCAACCGCAAGATCGGCCACTTCCTCTTCTGGCACCTCCGGTAGCTGGGCCCACCCTGGCCCGAAGGGATGGGGGGACTGCCCCAGGTCCTCCCTCGCTGGGGCTGGGGAAGGGGCTCTGCCGCCTGGCCTGACAAGGGTCAGCCCCGTGTCCCTCCCTGCAGCTCCGAGATGCACGTGCCATCGGTGGCCCTGCGCTTTGGCCTCATCATGGAGGCCTACTGCCGGGGCAGCACCCACCACATGAAGGTGCTGATGAAGCAGGTGAGATTCTGGGCTCGCCCCACCCTCCCTCCGGAGCAGGCCAGGCTCTGCCCACTGCCGCATCCCCTCTCTCCCCGCCAGGGGGAAGCACTGAGCAAGCTGAAGGCGCTGAATGACTTCGTGAAGGTCAGCTCCCAGAAGACCACCAAGCCTCAGACTAAGGAGCTGATGCACCTGTGCATGCGGCAGGAGACCTACCTGGAGGCGCTGTCCCATCTGCAGTCCCCGCTGGACCCCAGCACGCTGCTGGAGGAAGTGTGGTGAGCCCCGGCCCCTCCTGCCCCGGGCCCTGTGCCCTGGCCGCTGGATGCACTGCTGACCGCCACTCTCTGTCCACAGCGTGGAGCAGTGCACCTTCATGGACTCCAAGATGAAGCCGCTGTGGATCATGTACAGCAGCGAGGAGGCGGGCAGCGCCGGCAGTGTGGGCATCATCTTCAAGAACGGGGATGGTGAGCCAGGCTGGGCAGCGCTGGCATGGGGCAAGGGACCCTTGGAGCCTGGCGTGGTGGGACCCACCAGGAACCCTGCGCTCCCTCCCCGCTGCTGCAGACCTCCGCCAGGACATGCTGACGCTGCAGATGATCCAGCTCATGGACGTGCTGTGGAAGCAGGAGGGCCTGGACCTGAGGTGGGCACGCCGCCACTTGCCCGTGCTCGGTGCCAGCCTCAGAGCCCGTGCCGAGTCGTGGCCCTAGCAGCCGAGAGGAGGCGGTAGGGGAGCGGGGAGCCACAGGGCAGTGTCTCGTTCCCACATTCCCTGGCTGCCCTGTGTGGGAAAGCAGGGACATCTCCTTCCTGTGCCCTGGTTTGTTTTTTCCAAGCAAATCCGAGCTCGGCCCCGGTGTGCCCTGTATCAGGAGCTCCCCCAGCTCGGCCTGCTTCCCTCCCCTGGCACTTTCCTGGGTGCCTCGAGTCCCTGGGCATCCAGCAGCCCAGGGACAGCCCTTGACTGTGTTGCATTCCCGGCCCTTCACCCCCTCCCCTAGAATGACCCCCTACGGCTGCCTCCCCACTGGTGACCACACAGGCCTCATCGAGGTGGTGCTGCATTCGGACACCATTGCCAACATCCAGCTGAACAAGAGCAACATGGCAGCCACGGCCGCCTTCAACAAGGACGCCCTACTCAACTGGCTCAAGTCCAAGAACCCGGGGTAGGGCCTCTTCCCCAGCGGCGTGACGCAGGGGGCTGGCCTGTGAGGGTGGACACTAAGGGACAGCAGGGAACAGGCCATGACAGCAGCCGAGAATGCCTTGCAGGATGGGGCAGGTCTCGGTCCCCGCTTCGTGCCCCGCAAATCTCGGGACTTTTAGAAACCACCCCCAGTGTCACTGGCTCGGCCATGCGTCTCTGCTGGTCTCTTTGGCCCTGGCTCTGCACGTGCTGGTATCTGGGCCTTTGTGTCCTGCTGGGGCCTCAGTAACAGCTGTTCCCGCAGCCCTCACCACACGGCCATGCCCCATTTAGGGGGGTCAGCCTCACCCTCTCCCCAGGGTGAGGCCAGGTGCTGCTGGGTGACCCAGGACCTGCTGTGCCCTCGGTTGCAGCTCCCAGAGTTGCATCCTTCTCAGGCCAAGCCAGGGCAACAGAGTCCGGCTGCACAGTGATGTAGCTGTCACCCCCCACCCCAGGGATGCTCTGGACCGAGCCATCGAAGAGTTCACCCTGTCCTGTGCTGGCTACTGCGTGGCCACCTATGTGCTGGGCATCGGTGATCGGCACAGCGATAACATCATGGTCCGCGAGAGTGGACAGGTAGTGGTGGTGTGGTGTGGTGTGGTGTGGGTGGCCGTCCTCCAGCTTGCCAAGGTGTCCCCAAGCCCTTCCATGTCCCCTGTGCGCAGGGACCCGACACCTTTTGTCTCTGCCCTTCCCTTCCCTCCCCTCAGCTGTTCCACATTGATTTTGGCCACTTCCTGGGAAATTTCAAGACGAAGTTTGGAATCAACCGTGAGCGGGTCCCATTCATCCTCACCTATGACTTCGTCCACGTGATTCAGCAGGGGAAGACGAATAACAGCGAGAAATTTGAGAGGCGAGGCTGCCCGGGCCGCCAGGGAGGGGACAGGTTTCCCAGTCCTCCTGGGCAGTGGTGGAGGTGGTTTGCGGGAGGTGGAATGGCGGGGCTGCGTGGACACTATGACGGAGACAGTGCAGTGTGATGCGGAGTGGCCGGAGGACCTGGGCCTCACCTGCCTGCCTCCTCTCGGCAGGTTCCGGGGCTACTGCGAACGCGCCTACACCATCCTGCGGCGCCATGGCCTCCTCTTCCTGCACCTCTTTGCGCTGATGCGGGCAGCGGGCCTGCCCGAGCTCAGCTCCTCCAAAGACATCCAGTATCTCAAGGTGCGTGGGGCAGGCCGAGCCCACAGGAGGCCCCAACCGGGCAGGACCTCCAGGGCACATGCTGGCCTGGTCCACATGCCACCCAGGGCCCCAGCGTGGGGCATGGCGGGACGTGGCTGGAGCAGCAGAGTCCCCAGGCCTATATCTGCTTGGTGCAGGTGCTGGGTGACCCTTCATTGTCCCACCAGTGCCCATGTCCTCATGGCCACAGCCCTTCCCGTGTTGTCTCTGAGATAGTTCGGGGCAGCTGTGCCCCCCATCCCGTCCTCCAAGTCAGGGCAGGCCCCGTGGCACTGGGATGGGCTGTGGGCCCAAGACCCCTTTGGCCTTTGGCACCTGCAGTGGGCCAGGGGATCAGTCAGTCTGGCTTTGGGATCAGAGTGACGCACTTTCCCGAGGGAGCCGTGGGGTCTCCGCCAACTCCCCGCACACCTGGGGCTGACGTTGCCGCGTGACCCTGCCCCAGGACTCCCTGGCGCTGGGGAAGACCGAGGATGAGGCGCTGAAGCACTTCCGGGTGAAGTTTAACGAGGCCTTGCGCGAGAGCTGGAAGACCAAGGTGAACTGGCTGGCGCACAACGTGTCCAAAGATAACAGGCAGTAGCAGCCGCCTGCAGCCACGCCGGTCCCGGGCCGCCCTGGGAGGCACAGCGTGGTCCTGGGGCCAGGCCCCGAGCCTGGCCGTACCTCATGAGGAAGAACCACATAGTCGCCTTTTGTTTACACTGGTTATTTATTTGTGACCGAGACAATTAAGAAGCCAGCCATAAATGGACACGCACCCCGAGGGGAGGCAGCCGGCCAACTGTCTTCCGCTGTGGGCGGCCCAGCAGACTCCCCAAGATAGGGCATCTCTCCGCAGGTTCTGCCTGCCGCCAGGGCTCGGTGCCTAGCTGTCACCTGCCACCTCCTCTCGAGACAGGACCGGGCTCACTGCCTCTTCCCACACTGGGTGCCCCCACCCACCTGCCTCTCCTCCACTGACCCAGTCCTAGGCTGCTCTGGAGCAAGCCACGTATGCTGTAGACTCAGGGACACTTGTTTGTCACTGCTGATGTGACTCTTGGTACGGGGGACACCTTTACCCGGTTCACTGTCGGGTGAAAAAATAGCCAGACCACTCCATGAACTTGCACGGCTGGGGATGGGCACCCAGTCCCCACCAAGGACTGTACAGCTTGGTCAAGCTGTTCTGGGAAGACGAAGCATGGCTGGGCTCCTCCTGGTCACCACCCCAGGGAAGGGGACACGTGGTGTCCTTGGTGCAATGCTGTGCAAGCTGCCCCGTCTCAGGCCATCTGGAATGGAGGGACAGCACCTGCTGTCACTCGGAGGTGTCACCACTGGCAAGCAGCACCCTTCCCACACAGTGCTTAGTTGGAGATGGTCGAGGCAAAGCCTTAGGCCTCCTAGGGGTAGGCTGAGGGGTCCAGGCCCAGGCCTCTCCTGCCCTTCCAAGGCCACTGCAACTGGCCACAGGCCCAGGAAGCGGCACTCCTGGAGTGAAGCCCACAGGCTGGGGATGAAGCTCAGCTGGCAGGGCGTACGCTGCTTAGCATGTGCAAGGCCCTGGCTGCCAACACTTGCAAACCAGAAACCAAAAAAAGCATCCTGAGACTCCTGACCTGGTTCATGCTGCAGTGCCCTCAGCAGCCTCCCGAGGCTCTGCAGCCAGGTGCCAGCTGTCTGCATGTGGGAGCTGGGGACCATCGGTGCCATGCAGACCACTCGCTGGTTCTCTGCTCGGGGAAGGAAAGCTGTGGTGCCTGCTTGTGTCGCGTTATTTATTGTAACAAGTCTGGGTGCTCCTGGCCCGGCGCAGCTGCTGCACACCCTTGGCAACATGCGGCTCAGGTGTGCGGCCCATGTGCCTGGCAAGCAGAAATATTTTCTATTTTTTTAAGTCACTTTGTGGGTCTGTCAGGAAGGCAAGCTGAGCCGCACTGACTGGGTGCATCGGTGGAACCCTGATGTGAGCAGTGAAGGAAGCTGGAAAGAAATAAAGGTCTTTTTATGTTCTTATGTTCTCGGCTCAGAAAGGAACGGGGGGGGGGGGTTTAACACAGGAGAGCCCCACTCAGAGAGAGTTAGAACCAGAGCTTTATTGTAGTGTGTACATTTCCCGACCTCGCACCAATATACACATCCAGGGGGCACCAGCACTATGCACGCAGAGGGCCTCTGCAGGACACCTGCCCATTGTCCACACAGCAGTGGCCGGGACAGGATAGGGGAGGGCGGCCGCGCGGCACAGCATGGCACCCATGGTCCACACCAGCAGCAGTTCACACCCGGGTTCGAGGGGGATGGGGCGGGGAGGAAGACAGCGTGCATGGTCCCAGATCCCGTCAGACTGCCTGCTCCATGTTGGCCTCCACCCTGAGAAGCAGCAGGACCCTGGGCTCTGGGTGTGGCTTGGGAGGAGGGCGGTGGGTGCAGGCAGCCTGCAGCCTGCGGACGTTCCGCACAGCAGCTGAGGCTCCCGCGGGTCCCGTGCGCTCTACCACCTGGGAAGCCGGTCCAGGCCTCGAGGTGCGGGCAGAGAGGAGTGTGGGTGGGGCCGAACACCGAGGAGGCAAAGGCCAGGCCTCTGCTCCAAGGAGGGTACCCGACTGACCGGGTCCCTGAGCGGCAGCCAGGTCTCCAAGCCCCCTGCACTCAGCATCACTTTACAGTCCTGACTACACTAGCACGAAGGACACAGAGAATCCGGATTTATTTACAAAATATTAAAAAGTCATTGATCATCTACATATTAACCCCCACTCTGCCACTTTATACATGCACTAGTTTGGAAAAAATAAAAACTTTAAAAAAAAAAAAAAAAAAAGAAAGAGAAACTGATTACTGGGTAGAAGTGAGCGATTTTTACCCTTTGTCACCAGTCCAGTCATTGCAGTTTTTCTGGAGGTGTGGGCCGGCAGGGGATGAAGACATATGGTCCCCAACATGGCTGGCAGAAGCAGCAGGGGATTTGTGGCCCTGGATACCAAGCAGCAGCCGGGCAAGGGCAGACGAGGGCAAAGCTACGGTCCTAACACCAAGCGAGGGCAGCGGGCAGGGATGGGTCTGCAGACCTGCTGGCCAAAGGACTTTGTACACTGAGGACCGAGGGGCCAGGGCGGCAGTCTGGGGTGACAGAGCGGCGCTGGTCAGTAGCTGAGCGTGGAATCGTCCCATTCCAGCTGCTGCTGCCGGGTTGCGTTCTGCCCGTCGCCGGGGCCGCCCTCCTCCTCCTCGCTGCTCTCCGACTCGGCACTGGTGATGTCCTCCTCCTCCTCCCCATCTTCGCTCTCCTCCTCCTCTTCCTCCTCCTCCTCCTCCTCGCTGCTGTGCTGGTCCTCATACGTCTGTCAAGGGGGAGGCAGCATGAGTCCAGCTCGTGGCACCACCCTCCAAGGGGTGGTAACACCCTCCAAGGGGACCTTGCCAGGGGTGAGACCTGCTGCCCAGTTCTTGCCGCAAACCCCAGTGTGAACATGCATCCCACACTCCCCAGGGTGTGGCCTCCAGTGAGGCCTCTCTCAGCCTCAGTTCACCCATCTGAGAGCGAGGCCCTGGACTCATAGGACGCAGGCACATGGACAGGCTCTGTGGCTCACGCTGGCCTCCTACCTCCATGGGGTTCACGGTGATGGTCAGGGCCGAGTCGTCCCAGTCCATCTCATTCTCCTTCCCCGAGTCCTGGTCCCGCATGGTTCGCTGGTGCGCAGCCCGGATGCGGAACACCCCCAGGATGATCATGAAGACCAGGAAGCTGACGCACACCACGATCACCACCGTGGCTGTGCTGGGGACGACTGCCAAGAGCAAGGGGAAATCTCAGTGGGGCGCATCTGGGACGTGCCCGCCTGCTCTGTGGCTGTGTGAGTTGTTACCCCCTCGTGGATGACAGGGTGTCAGGGACACCATGTGCCAGCTCAAGGCCACCGCCTTCCTGTCTTAGAGCTTCCTGCCCAGCCTACCTGCGAACGGGTGAGGATTGGCCAGGTTGTGACCCGACAGGTCCACGAAGGAGCGGTGTTCAGGGTGCACAAACTGTGGCTGCGCAGCCATGTGGCTGGCGTGTTCCACGGGGCTGGCCGTGTGGATCACATTCACCTGTGGGGGGCGTAAAGCAGAGAGAGGATGGGCAGCTGGAGACCAGCGCCCCACGGATGTCCTACACAGGCCACTGCAGTGGCCCTGGGCCAGGCCAGGACAGCCAGAAGCTGCTTCAAGAACTGGATACAGTTGCTCGCCCAGGTCCATGCCCAGGTCTGGCGATCACAGTGCATCTGTGTCTGCCTGGGACTTCGGGGACACTGCTGCCCGAGGGACAGCACTGTGCCACCCTGCTTTCTTCCCAGGTAGTTACTCCTCAGCACAAGGAAAGTGCTTGTGCCAGGGCTGTGAGGCTTGGGCTGTGCCCAAGGGCACAGTGGGTGCAGAGGATGGGAAGAGGACCTATGGGTCCCTTCTGACAGGCACAGGGCCTCAGTGCCGATGGCGCTGCAGTGGGGCCGTGGGGATCTCAGGGCAGGACGAGCTGCTGCTCTCAGGCACTGTGGCCAGAGTGAGGGCACTGGCTGGAGGCGGGCCAAGGACCCCACCTTCTCTCATAGGCCGGCCCCAACCAGCTGCACAGACCTCTGGGTCTCTGGCAGTGTTCTGGGGACAGCGTGCTTCAGGCCTCTCACAGGAGAAGACTCCACCCGCACATTCACCCACCCCAAGGCTCCCTAGGCTGTGGCTCGGCCACGTCATGGGGATCTGGTCCCTGCAGTCTGTGCACTTCTAACCTGCAGCGGAGCCCGGGCCGGAAGTCGCTCACCACCCTCGGATGACCCTGAATGAACCATAACTGCGCCAAACATTGGACTTTTACAACTTTAGGGTTTGGGTCCTGGGCTGGGGATACAGCTCAGTGGCATGGCAAGTGCCTGGCAAGCCCAACGTCCTGAGTTCAATTCCTGGGACCAAAAAAGTAAAGTCAAGGTCCTTAGTTGGGCATGGATTTGCCCACTTCTAATTGCTAGGAGGGTGAGACAGGAGGATCATAAATCCGTGCCCAGTTGGGCAACTTAGGAAGACCTTGTTTCAAATTAAGAAGGCTGGGGATGGAGCTCATTCAATGCAAAGGCCCTGGATTCGATCTCCAGTATCAAAACAATGAGTCGAGGTATTTGATTACTGCTGCCCCTTCTGGGTAGGAGCCCTGAACTCACCTCCACCTTAAACTCGTTGCTCAGGTAGCGACCATTCAGTTCAGAGCAGATGAGCTTGAACTTCCGGTCAAGCAGGGAGCTGGCATGCCAGTTCCGATAGCGCAGGAGATGCAAAACCTCCTCATAGCTGGCCATGGTGTCCACGCCTGCAGGGTTAAAGGAAAGCGGCTAAAGTCAGGTGCTGGGTGGCTGAGCCCGTGGGTCCCCCCACTGTGCCCTTCCAACTGGGGAACACACAGGCAGCACATGGGGCACTGTCCCTCCAGCATGAACCCCCCACACCCTGCCCCACCCTGTATGAAGGCAGAGCCTCTCTCACCTCTGAGGACCACTCCCAGGTCCGAGTGGCTCACTTCAATGCCCTTCTGCTGCAGCCGGACAGCATCCACCTCCAGGCTCTCCTGCTCCGGGTTCAGCTCCTCCCCCTCCACAGTGACCTCGCAGGTGTCCAGGTCATGCACCACCTCCTCAGACACCAGGGACTCTTGGACTGCAGAAGCCATGGGGACTGTGAGGACGGGCCGGTGAGGCTGTCACCCCAAAGGCTGGCCTGCTTTGGTACAAGCTTGCCAAGCCCTTTAAGGACCAGGAAGGGAAGCACTGGCTGTAAGAACTGGGGCTTGAAGAGTGTGGGACTGAATGGTGAGCGAGCATCCAGGATGGTATGGATGCCGTCCTCCTGTGGTTGACCCAGAAGAAGGGGAAGGACCCGGAGACCACAGGTGTCCAGAGACCAAGGCGACGTCAGCCCAAAGGACCAGGCTTCAGAGCATTCCGTGCACACAATACAACATCCACCTCCCAGACCCACAGAAGAGACTGGACCCCAGGTGGCAGCTGGGGCTGTCCAGCAGAGCTAGGCGGACAGCTCTGTGAGCGGCTGTTACCTGTGGGGTCCTCGGCCCCATCCCCCTCGGGCTCCACCTCCCGAGTGATGGTGCTGATGATCCGCAGCTCAGGGAACAGGAAGACCCCTTCAGGGCTTTCGAACTCCGAGGCTGCGCGGGCAAAGTGGTGGATGCCGCTCAGGCTGATCTTGGGCTCCTCGGGTTGTAAAACCATTACATAGCCCTCGACCACAGGGATCTCGATGCATGTGGCGGCCTCATTAAAGCACCTGGCAAGGAATGGGAGCGAGGGGAGAGTGTGAGCGCCGTGTCGGGCTGGTGTGTAAGGGTTGCACAGGCACCTGGAGGGGACAGACTACAGTAGGCCCCACATGAGCGCCCATCCCTACGACACAGGCCTCACAGGAGCCTGTGCTCGCCTCTGCCTTTCCTCAGAGGGAGTCAGGGCATCTTGCAAACCCAAACGCGCATTTGCTTCCCAGCCTTCCTGAGGAGGAAGAAGCTGATGCAAAAGCCCAGGACGTACTTGGCTGTGCTGGTGACTCGGAGCCTCCGGATGCCTGGCGTGGGGAACTGCCTGGAGTTCAGGTAGGACAGGTGCTGCATGGCCCTGTCCAGCTCCCCAATGTCGTCGCCCTCCAGGGTCAGCACCGACTGGCTGGGGCCTGCTCGGATCTGCAAGAGGGAGGGGACAAGGTTCTTGCTGTGAGGTGCTGAAGCCACTGAGGTTTTGGCACAGAACAGTCTGCATTTTGTCGCTTTGTTTTTTGAGACAAGGTCTTGCCATGTATTCCAGCCTGGCCTCTTATTCATGGCAATCCTCCTGCCTCAGCCTCCCAAGTGCTAGGACACAGGTATGCACTGCTGTGCCTGGCAAGTCTGGATTTGATCTGAATTGATGGAGTTGCAAGTTCTTTTCTTTCTCTTCTTCTGGGTACTGAAGATCAAATCTTTTGCAACAATGGTGTTTTGTTTTGTTTTTTTTGAGATAGAGTCTCACTATGCAGTTCAGGCTGGCCTTGAGCTCACTTTGTTGCCTAGGCTGGTCTTGAACTTGCAACAATCCTCTTGCCTCAGCCTCCCAGGTGCTGGGATTACAGGCGTGAGCCACCATGCCTGGCTTTTTTTTTGGCGGCGGGGGGGGGAGGGTTTGCTAAATCACTAGTCACCAGTCTGGACTCAAACTTGTGACCCACCTGCCCCAGCCTCCCAGGTGCTGGGATTACAGGAGTGCACCAGCACACCTGGCTAAGGAAAGCTAGGTACCTGCAGTGAGATCTTCTCTGGTAAGACACGTAACCTCTGAGGTTCAGATTCATCCACTCATACCCAACCTTGCCATCTGCAGCCACTGCCCCAGCCCAGCGCAGGCAGACGCCCTCATTACCTGCACACCCCCGCTGTCTTCAGGGCCCTGCAGGCCCAGCCCCTCTTTGCAGGTGTACAGACAGTCGATCACCTTCTTGTCCGTGAGTTTCCCAGAGCGGACTGTTAGGCCAGCCAGGTTCCCTCTGAAAAACTGGGCCATGTGCAGGTCACCACCTAGTGAGGGGGGTGGGAAAGGGAAGTGAGCGGTGCAGCAGCCGGGCATCCGGAGCTGTTTCTCAGCGTGGTGTTACCGGCAGTGCAGCTGGATGGATGGGCATGCAGGTTAGTCCAGACCCACCCTGTTAGCCTTGCAATCTACATGGAGGCACATGAAGACATTAAATCGGCGATGATCATGCACATGGCCTGGGGAAGGGAGGAGCCGCGGGTCCCACGCTCACGGCTGCAAGGTCCCATGACAAGTCCCTGCACACCTGGCCACACCCTGGCGCTGGGTCCTGTTCCCATTACACAGCAGCACGAACATCAACGCCAGCTCCCCACTGCCTGTGGGCGGCTGGGCACGCTGCACTTGTGCTAGCCCTGCACACACATGCTTGGGGACGAAGCCACAGAAGCTGGGCAGAGGGGACAGAGATGCAAGTCTCCCTTCTGGGGTAGCTGCTGCTTGGTCAAGACCCATCGTTCATGTCTCCTACTTCTGATGATAACCAGGAAGGGCAGAGTTGCCAAGGAAAGGGAAAACAAAACCCGGCCCTTGAGAGGCTACGGAGGGGTCCCAGTGAGAGCTGCCCTCACTGATGAGAGAGGAGACAGCTCCTGCAATGGGGCCCATTCCACCAGGGCTCCGGCCAAGGCGAGCTACTGTCAAGGATCAAGCTCACTGGGAAACGTGTTTAGAATTTAGGGGCCGGGGTGTAGCTCAGTGCCACAGCGCCGGTCTGGCAAGTGCAAGGTGCTGAGTTTGATTCCTGGTACTGGGGGCAAAAAATTAGAATTCAGTATCGACCAGGATAGGAACTCCAGCAACGGGTCACTTCCTGCCCTGCAGTTCAGGCCAGGAGCACCATGAGGTGGCCCCCAAGCCGGCCGGGGAGACGTTGGCAGAGGAACTGTACGGGTGAGTCCCAGCGCTCACATCAGTGGGGCAGAGTGGACAGAAAGGGAACCCCATGCGGCAATGGGGGCACAATGCAGTGAAGCAGCTGGAAGGGTGTGGGGGCTGGATGCAGCTCGGCTCGTCATGCGACATGTGGAATGAATCAATGTCTCATCTTTAAATGAAACACAACAGTCAACTGTAGGAGAAAAATCCAGCAACCTGCGGAGGCCACAGTCACAGGCTCAGTGTCATTGTCACTTTCAACTCCTGAATACTCTGCGGAAAAGTAAGACAAAGACAATAGAAAAGGACCAAGAGGTTAGGGTCTTCAAACTGGACGTGAAACTCAGCTGTGAAGCAACCAAACACAAACCCAAAGAGAAAATCCATCTTGTCTCTCGAAGTACGTACTCCACACCTAGCAAGCCAGATCACCTTTTTCCAGAAATGAGACCAACGCCCTCTTGCTGTGTAGCTTTGTTTTATTCCATCTTCCCATGCCCTCCTCATCGGATGCAAGTAGATTCAAACGGGGTGGAAGGGCAGAACACTGCACACTGACAGCCTTGGCCGGGCCAGAGTCTTGGGCAGAAGGGCACCAAGGGGGCCTATACTGCCCGCTTCTAGGTAAACAGCACACACAGGGCCCTGAGTCCGCTCATGGTCTCATGTGATTGGTGTTTTTTAAAGACAGGTTTGCATCTGTACTTCAAGTAATAGAGATAAGCAGCCATCTGAAGACACTTTCTCCAGCAAGAGGGGTGTGAGAGGCTAAGTGCACGTGCACAAAGCAGCCCATAGCAACCAGCGGAGCTGCGAGAGCTCTGTGTGATCAGGGCTCAGCACACTGCATCTTGCCATGCTGCCCCATACTGTCGGGGGTCCGCAGGGGCCTCCAGCACAGCACTGCACAGGGACACATCTGAGTGCACAGATGATGCAGCCTGCAGTGGCTCAGCCACTGAGAGGAAGAGGGAGCCAATCATCTGGGCTGGGAACCCAGAGACAGCGCAGGCACAGTAAGGCGAGGCCAGGCAGAGGGGAGGGGGGGCACGCACGACACAGCGGTTTAGTTTAACCACAGGAGTGCAGGCCCCAGAATGTAAAGTCGCATTCAGGTTTACCCTGAATTTTAACTTCAATTTTCAAAATAATCAGGGACTGGGCAGCCATAAGCTGCCTCAAGCCCTGCCGCAAGCCCAGCACTCAGGAGGTGGGGCCAGCCTGGGCTACACATTAAGTTTAACATCAGCCTGAATTACAGGTAAGACCTCGTCCGCACCCCTAAAAAAATGTGTGTGTGTATAAAATTCAGAAAGTAGCATTTAATCAAGGCAGCAAATTGGAACTGTCCTGTGTCCTGTCTACTTCAGTGCTCAACCCATGGTCCCATGTTCCACTTTCTCTTGGATAATTGTGACTGCAGTTAAACACGGCATCCACTAAAGAAGTTCATCGCAATATATGATCTTACTTCCCTGCATATGAAAGAATTTGCAGGAAAAATATGAAATTCAAATTTACTGAAAATGAGAAACGGTGTTGGGAACTGAGCTCTCTGATACATCTATGCCACGCGAAGGCACCATGTTTACACAGGGAGCAGAAGCAAGCATGTGTGGTGAGAGTGATGGCCTGAAATGACCCAAGACAGAGCCAAGCACAAAGGCTACTGCTAGAATCTCCAGGGTAGACACAGGGGTCCATAAACTTGGATGGGAAAAGTTAGTACTAATTTCCACTGATTATTACCGAAGGAAAGGCTCGGTTTGGGGAAACATAGGTTACAAACCACAGCAGTGTTCAGTAACGACAACTCCTGTCACCAGTAGAATTCACAGGCGCCTTCCTGCCCACCACACAGCTGTGGGGACCCTTGCTGCTGCAGCCTGCTCCCTAGTGAGCAGAGCAGGCAAGCAGGCTCTTCCCCAGGGCCACTCCCTGGGCCTATGGACTGTCACAGCCAGGCTTTGAGGGCGCCTGTGTCCCAACTGTCACATGCAAAGCAGCCGTGGCTCGCCTGGTCAGCATGGGCTGCCCTCATGGGGCACGTCCATGGCCCTGATCTGCAGCTCTGATTCGTCCTCTTCGAGTGATCCCCGCAGCCCCGTGGCAGCACTCCAAGGACTTGCGACTGCATGCGCACTGCTGCTCGGCACGTGTGTGTGAGAGGCTCCGGCGCTCGGGGAAGCTGACCACACCACAGCCCAATCTTTCTGGAGACTTCCACCAAATCCTCTGCAGACAGGTGCACAGTCATGATTCCCTCACCAGCTTGCTACCAGCTTGCCAAACACTAACTCCAGAACAGCCCCTGGGGTCCAGGTCTTCTTATGTCCTTTCTATCCTGGTGCCTCACCACTGACTGCTGCCCCTGGTACACATGAATTCATTTATAAACCAGATCCCCCAGGTACGCTCTCGTCTGTGCCATCCCTCCCAGGCTCACAGGAAGGGCGCTGGAACACACCTTCCTCGGCGCCCAGAGATGGGGCTACACTGTGGGATGGCACAGAAGAGAGAAGCACAGGAAAAGGAAGAAAACGACAGAGTACAGAGTGTAGACACTGCTGGGAGCCTATCCCCATCACACAGCAGACAGCCAGGGACAGAACGTTACCTTGCCAGCAAGCCCCAACCACGAGCTGGGTGTCTATCTTGGACGGGTGGAGTGGGTAGTCCTCGGTCACCGAGAAGGGCTCGTGGGGAACGCCGTCCACATACAGGGTCGCGCTTGGGAGCTCCACATTGAGGACAAAGTGGTGCCATTCCGCATCACAGACCTACCAAGGCAAAGGGACCATGGAGCATCAGCCTGCCTCGCCGCCGGAAAACACGAGAAAGACAAAGTCACCTCAGTAATTACCTGTCTTCCTACAAAGAAAAGGATTATCATAAAATCTCATAACAAAGTGTTCTGCAAACGTGTCTCCCCAAAAAGGGGCACGTCACAACACTGTCTGCAGGGCATTCCGAGCCAGATGGCACCCATCACAGGACAGAGCCCCTAACAGGGAGCTGCCCAGTCTCCTCCTACTGGTAACGTCTGCATCAGGCTGCAGGGGACGGCTCCTGGTGTGGATCAAAACCCAAGCACCTGCAGTGTCAGAATATGAACTACCACAGGACACAGATGTGTTTTCTCCAGCTGATGATTTAAATACAAACAGCCCTGGGCTCAGTACAGCTTGGCATGCACAAAGACCATACAGCTCAAGTGGCTCAGCAAATTTAACTTTCCTAGCAGGGTGTGGTGGCACATGCCTGTAATCCCAGCACTCAGGTGGCCAAGGATCAGGAGGATCCTTGAGAGTTTGAAACCAGCCTGGGCTACAAAGTGAGCTCAACACAGCACAGACCCTATCTCTAAGAGACAAGAAAATGAACAAACAAAATTTAACTTTCCTGCTGGGAATAGCCATCACAGATATGAATCAACCAACTGCAATGTATTTGCATACTAATTCAACAAACTGAAGAAACAGATATATTTAAGATGCAATTTGAAATCTGAACATGTACTGGACATTTGATAATATGAGGAGTTATTTTTAATTTTTTTCTTTATTATCATTTTTTGTACCAGAAATCAAACTCAGAACTTGTACTTGCCAGGCAGGCACTGTGCCGCTGAGCTACATCCCCAGTCCATTTTATTTTTTTAATTTTGCTGGTGCTGGAGACTGAACTGAAGCCTCCTGCATGCCAAGCACACAGTTTATCAGTGACAAATATCTTGGTTCCTGCACATTTTTTAAAATATGCAAAAACTGTGCTGTTAAGAGACACAATGAAAGATGCATGTCTCCAAAGAAAAAATGCACTATCCCAGATTTCTTCAGAACTAAATCAATTTTTATAGGGTGGCAACAAAAACCATTGATAATGAATGAGGAAAATGCCAGGCACAGTGATGCATGCCTACAATCATGGCACTCTGGAAGCTGAGACACGGAGATCACCATGAGTTCAAAACCAAAAGCCTGGGCTACAACAGTGAGTTCACGGCCAGCCTGAACATAGCAAGACCCAGCCCCAAAAAATAAAAATGAAGAATGGGGACAATAATGAAATAAGTGTCCAAGAGCTGGTGCTCGATGAAGATGGACAAAAGATTCACAGAGTTTTCATTTTGTACAGGGATTAAACTCACGACCTACCACTTCCAGGCCAGTGCTTGTGCCACTGAGCTACACCCCTGGCATGTAAGGGTTTTCTTTACACCAGTCTCTCTGTATAAATGTGAAAAACTTCCCATCATAAAACTTTTAAAAATATGCAATCAGCAGAAATTATGCAACATGGTTACTGTATGGTTACTGTAACAGAAACATATTTAAAGTGTCTGCTATAAACATTTTTTCCAGATTTATCTTTTATGTTTGTTTCTAATACAGGGTAATGGCCTGTAGTCCAAAGCTGATCTTAAAATCACTATGTAACCCAGGCTGGTCTCAAGCTTTTAATCCTCTGCCTTAGGGCTCCCAAATGCACACCACACCCAACTCAGACCATAATTTTCTGTAGTTTCTCAGGAAAATTACAGTAAAAGCCTCTGAGAAAAAATTATTTACATTAAAATCACATCGGTAGGAAATGATTAAAAGGAAAAAACAAAACAAAAAAAACCCAGACACTCATCTCTTCGCCTTTCTTTTCTCTTTTGTGCTCTTATATTCTTATCCACCTTTTAACTCCATTAGCTGACGTTATATTTTAACAAACACAGACACATCTCACACTGTCATTTTGTTTTGCTTTGTTCTGTTTTGTTGAGACAAAGTCTCACTATGTAATGCCAACTTGCTTATGCAGCCCTGGCTGGCCATCAACTCACTCACAGTGGCCCTCCGTGAGTGCCGGGATCACAGGCAGGCGCCACCGAAGCTGGTTTGACACCATCAACTTTTGCTAATTCCATAGCCGAATAAAACCAAGGTAAGGCCAAAACTGCCTTATTGCCTCAAACCCTAAAACAAGAGAAGGTATGAGACCAAGCGTGACACCACACTCCTGCACTCCCAGCACTTCGAAAGGGGAGGCGGCAGGATCACAAGCTTATGGCAGCCTTCATTTCCCTGTAATGTGTATTTTTTTTTAAGGAGATGACACATGTTTTTTCACGGATGTTTGCTTTTTATCACAGAAAGTACCGGAAAGTTAGCTTTACAAAGACATGACCCAGTGTAAAACTGCCACTCCCTTGAGCTAGTGGTTTGTGTGGTATCTGAGAGATGTCAGGACTGCCGGTTCCTTGAAAACGCAGCACATCCGGCGGCGCCTGCGCACTGCTGAGTCACCCAGGGCTCCTGGCACCAGCCCAGACACAGCCCTAGCGATGAACAGACATAAAGATCTCCACCTCAGGTTTTAGGCAAATGCTCCCTACTTCAATTACAGAAGTTTTTATACTTTAAATACCTAACTTTTCTATCAGTATTTTATTATCTAAAATAATGTTAAATAATGTAATACATTAAAAAACCCTCCGGCTTTCAGAGGAAAGGAGATGGGTGGGTTTAGTCTGCTATCCTGCTACCCAGACACAGAAACCATGAGTCATAAATGCCCACCATGCACAGCCGGCCGGACACGGGCAGGGCTGCAGACCCATTTCTGTCTTACGAGAGCACACCTGGCGAGCTCTGCACTCGCTCACCTGATTCAGTTTCCAGTGGAATTCTGCAGGCCTGTACCGCTTCTCCTCGGAAGGATCCTGACGGAGGAGGAAGATCAGCCTGCACCCATGGACGTACAGCGAGTAATGATGCCGGTTCATATCTGTGAAGAGAGTTCTGACAGGTAAACGGCCAGCTCAGCACCCAAGGACAGTGAGAGCTGTTTTCCTCATGGGTTTTGAAGACACAATTTCATCTGCACTAATGACCCCTCCAGCTGGGCTATGCAGCATCTAGGAACAAATATGCTTGTGTTCTGCTAAGCCCCACGCCCCTGACGGCTGCTGACCACCCCTGGGCCCTATCTGTCTTGAGGACAGAGTATTGTCCAGCCCCAAACCCAGGGGACACCTGGACCAAGCAGCTTTCCGACAGGCTGTCGGTAAGGTGAGGAACCTGATGCCTGGGAATGCCCATGGAGCAGGGAAGACCGCCACCTACAGAAACACAGCCCACCTGTCTTGTCCGAGCTGCAGAGAATTGTCTCCTTCTTCCTGCCGAAAGGCCCGTGCCTCATCCACACGGAGATGGTGAAGGGCTCCTTCGGGTTGATGGAAACCACACCATCAGGGATCCTTACTGCCTGGGTGCCATTGAACTCAAAGACCTGGTCACTGTCGTGGCCATTATCAGTGGGGAGGCCAATGGTCCAGTTCAAGGAGCTGCTGGGGGAAGGAAGCAGCTCGGCAGTGCCCGCAGCAGCCCCTGAAACCACAGCGACAACGCTGAAGGTCAGTTCTGCAAAGAGCCTGGCACCCACAAGCGTCTCAAAGCTGTGCGCTTGAGGGCTGTTCTCATGTCACAGTCAGACGACGCGCTCACTCTTCCTTAAAATCAGGCGATTTTTAAAGACAAAAATATGATAATAACCATAGATGGCTTTTTACAGGAAGGAGGATGAAAAACATCACGCATTTCTTGTAATCCCACGCAAATACCCACCATCTGGGGAGGAACCCTCCCAAGTCGTTATGACTACATGCGAGGTATCTGTTAGCTAAATGGAGTCCTGCTATGCACACACACACACACACACTCACTCTCCCTCTCCCTCTAAGAGTCTCCTACAGCAGAACCGCAAATGCCCGGTCACCATTCAGCACAGAGCCCTGCTGTGATGTGCTGACCCAGTGTCCCGGGGGACTGGGGGCTGCTCCTGCTCTCTCCCCTCATCAACCTCTGCTTGACAGGCTCTGTCTGTCCCCATGCTTACGCTTCCAGTGCAAAGTCCTAGAAATGGATTTACTAAATCAAAGTACAAGAAAAATGTTTGACAACTGTCATGACAGAATGCCAGGATCAACTGTCATGGGGATTTAGCTCAATGGCATAAGCACCTGCCTTGCAAGCAGGTGGTCATGAGTTCGATCCCCCGTACCAGAAAAAAAAAAAAAAAGAAGCTGAGCCAGGTGGATTGCCGTGAGTTCAAGACCAGCCTGGGCTACACAGTGACTTCAAGGCCAACCTGAACCACATAGCTTGTCTCAACCTTTTGTTGAGACCCTGTCTCAACAAAAAAACAAAAGCAGGTTCCTAACTACAGGCTTCATCCAGGTGGTGGGAGGGGCATCAGTTTAGGAGACAGCTCCCTGCAGAGCTACTGCTCACTGCCCTTGAAACACAAAGGCCCCCGCTGATCACAAGGGGCCACAGAGGCTCCTAGTGTTTTATGGCTAAGTGAACACTCTGCCTTCTGCACTCCCACTAGAGGCATCTGACCTCACCTCTCTTCATCTAGACGAACTGGAAAGCTGCACAATGGACAGGAAAGAGGAAAGCTTGTCCTCTGTCCAGTCTCCCAGTCCTTATCTCTCAGCTCCTCCACAAGTAGTTTGTGATGTGCAATGTGAGCTATGCCTCCAGTCAGACCTAAGTATCTTAGAGGCAAGCGTGGTGGCGCACGTCAGTAATCCTAGCACTTGGGAGGCTGAGGCAACAGGATCATTGCAAGTTTGAGACCAGCCTGGGCCACAAAGTGAGTTCAAGGCCAACCCGAACTGCATAGCAGGACCCGGTCTCATAAAAGAAGTTTTGGATATCCTCAGGCTGATTCTCTGATTCGTGTTACCAAAGGCTATGCATCGGCTGTAGTTTTTTCCTTAATTCTTAAATGAACTCTGTTTCATATAAACTTGCTCTGCTTTCTCTCCCGGATGGAGTCTCACTGTCTGCTCAGGCCGGTCTCTAACTCCTCAGCTCAGGCCCTGCCCCATCTCCCAAGCTTATTCTCACCTCATCTCTATTTGGATGATTTGCAACATATGCTCCTTTCTTCAAATCAGTGGCTTTAAAGCGCACACACATGTGACCTCCTGAACAGCCTTTTAGGGGGTTAGCAGGCAGCAGCATGACAGTGCCTGTGGGCTGGCATCGCACACAGACACACGTGGCCTGGCCCACTGTCAGGGTCCCCTGCTCCAAAGACGGAAGGCTCAGGACGCACGGCCTCTTACCACAGAGCCTGTGGAGGGACTTCTCAGAGTAGGTGTCTCGGTCACAACCTTTCCCAATGTGGCTGGTCTCCAGCTCAACCGTGGCCTGCACCAATGCCACTGGCTCATCACATGTCTCCAGGTGGATGTTTGGGAAGACAGCAAGAGCTCCGGTGCCAGGCTCGTACTCAACCCTGTTGCTCCAGCCTGTGTGGCCCAGAGGACAGTGTGGGAGGGAAGGAGGAAAACTCCATGTTAGGCTCCCAGGATTCTTAGTTTGCAGGAAGATGCTCGAGTGGGAGAGGGGGCGGCTCACCTTGCCACCCAGGGGTGCAGGTGGGCTTAATGCTGATCTTCACCAGGACGTCTTCTGCGGCCCTCTTCTTGCCGCAGTCGTAGGCCGTGACGCTCAGCTTATACTGCTGCTCCTTCCCGTAGCTCAGCTTCTCTGTATTCCTTATGTAACCTGTCAAGGAGGGCAGGCAGTAAGAAGCACTGCTCCTCTCACTGCCCAGCACCTGAGCATGAGGCCCTGCCAAGGCTGCCAGGAGCACACTCAGGGGTGGGGCACCTGCCTGCCTGGCCCTGCTGAGGTCCCCCACCCAGCACTCTTTCCAAAGCGCTTATCGGAGACCCTGAATCCCCACTACTCAGTCTCCACAGATTCCTGCAGTACATGCTCACTTTTATGTTAACTTTAATAGTTTATAGGTAAAAGAATAGAAGACAAACATTTTAGATCTCAATTATTAAATATAAGCTTAAGCTACATTCAATATTTATTGCTAAAAAGGTTTACTTTGGGGCTGGGGCTATAGCTCAGTAGCATAGCGCCTGCCTGGTAAGTGCAAGGTCCTAAGTTCAATTCCAGGTACCAAAAATAAAAAAATAAAACTTTTTAAAAAATGTACTTTTAAATGTAAATTTAAAAAATTTTAAAAATTTACTTTTAAATGTGACAGCTGTTTGGGGCGGTTTCCTTCTATTTTACACCCAAAGGGTGTTCACTGGGGGCATGACTTGGCGATGGGGTGTGTATTTAGTGCCGGTTCAGTCTCAAAGTAGGGAGGGCACGGACTGTTTTCCTGCTCCTGCGTGCCTATAAGACAAGTCTGCTTTTTTGTCATCACTGCCTTTTTTTTCTATCGGTACTGGGGATCGAACTCATGACCACCTGCTTTCAAGGCAGGTGCTTATGCCGCTGAGCTAAATCTCCAGGCAAGTCTGCTTTTTTGGAGACATGAGTCCTACTGCGGAGCCCAGGCTGGCTTTGAACTCACAGCACTCTCCTGCCTCAGCCTCTCCAGTGCTGGGGGCACAGGCATGCGCCGTGAGTGCAGAGAGAATGTACTCATACTGCCACCAGACTCCATGCTGCGGGCCAGTTAGCAATGGAAACTGTGACCTCGTAGGGAAGCCGAGGGCAGACAGCTACCTGTGTTCTAAGACCAGAGTGGGCCTGGCAGAAGTCAGGCAGTATGAGCCCCATGCATGAGGAGGCGGGGCTGGGGGTGCGCTCAGGGCAGAAGGAAAGCGCTCACTGCACGGAGAGCAGGAAAGACGACTGTCTAAAGGTCAGGCTGCTCCATGATGGCAGATGGAGCGGGCAGGACGAAGGGATGAGGGGCGGGGAAGGGAGAAAGGGAGCCCAGCAGACAGGACACCGGCGGCTCCCGGGAAGCTGTCAGGACGGCGTGGAGACTCCTGCTCAGGGACAACACGGACACAGACCACTCTCGGCAAGAGCCGCTCTACACTTACCATCTTTGTCCACGGCGAAGGGCACGTTGGGAGTGACAATCTCGTAGCTGCAGATCTGGCTGAACTGCGGGGAGCAGTCTGCATCCACGGCCTCCACCCTCAGGATGCTGTCATGCTGCTTGCCCTCAGTGGCCGTCGCCTTGTAGGACTTCTCCTTGAACACAGGCGCATACTCGTTCACATCGTTCACCTGGATGTGGACAGTTGCTCTGGACAGAAGAGGAAACAGCTGTTTGGGGCGGTTTCCTTCTGTTTTTCACCCAAAGGTACCAATTCTGCTCTATTTTGAAATTTATTTTTATCTGCTACTTGGTTTCACAAAATTTGTACAAAGACAAAAAAAAATTAACCAGACTTTATTGTTTTCAATTCATCATGGACCAAAAAAAGTTAAAATAAGAATCTGGCTTGACTGTCCCATGTCCTTGAAGCTGAGTTTAATAATTAATACACAAGAAAAGAGGCCTGGGGCTGGGGCTCAGTGGCAGAAGCTTTTTGCCTGTCCTGTGCGAGCCCATGCATTCAGGCCCTACCATAGCTAGCTGGAAAAGGGGACAGACACTTAGATTTTTCTCTGACAATCTATGCCGGAACATGAAGGCGGGGGATTCACAGTAGACACCTTCTTATGTCAGGTACCTGTCTGTTCTCAATAATTACAAAGTTAAAGGACAATATCGGCTGGGCATGGTGGTGATAGCTGTCATCCCAGCACTTGGGAGGATTAGGCAGGAGGATTGCTGTGAGTCTGAGACCAGCATGGGCTACAAAGCGAGTTCAAGCCCATCCTGAACTGCACAACAAGACCCCATCTCAAAGACAAAAAAAAATCTGTGGGTGCAGATACCAGTCCCTGTCCCTCCCTTCCCTTGCATGTGTGTGCGCGCGCGCACACACACACACACACACACACACACACACACACGTCTCGTCAGCGGGGTCTTATCTCTCCTCGCCAGCCCGCTTACTTATGAGACTTCTTCACGCCAGCACCATCAGGGCCCTTCCCGCAGTCATAGGCCTGGATGGTGAATGTGTAGTCTTTCTGCAGCTCGCAGTCCAGCTTCTCCTTGGAGCGGATTATCCCCTCGCCAGTGGACTTATCCACTACCACTGCGTCAAAGGGGACATTCTGCCCATGAATTTTAAAGCCACAAATCTCACCTGGGGAGTCAAAGCACAACAGGTCAGGGGTTCTGCCACACAAATCCTCTGCACGTCCCCTCCTCCCCCAAAGAAAATGAACAACAACAACTTGGCAGCCAGGGGTTGGAGGGTCCGTGGACAAAGCGGGGGGCACTGTGCTTTAACACGGGTGAGTTCTGGGGCTTTAGTCAAAAGCAGCGGAGTCTGGCTTCCCAAGCAACATGTGTACTTTGCATCCACTCATGCAGGAATACAAAAGAGAGAGAGAGAACACAGACAGGCATTCCACAGGAGCACTTAAGAGGGCTCGAGGGCAGCAGGAGTCTCATTAGTGGACAGCCAAGGCCAGAGCACGCCAGGGCCGCCCCAGCCATCCGAGGGCCAAGGGCCGGGCAGCTCTTTGGATTTGAACCAGAGGGAGGATAAAACGCAGTTAAATGTGGAGAGAGAAAGAAGTGTGAGATATAGGACCAGCACCGTAATTACAGAAATTCTGTCAAGGAAAAAATCCAAAGAATCAAGTCTTCCTGTGCAATGAGCCTGGCTAAAATTAGGGAATCAAAACAAACTGCTAAACAAGAGGTAGAAATACCAACTTTCAGGCATCCATTTCAACAGCTGTCACCCGGCTCTGTCACGGGGAGGGATTTGCTACCCTTTTTTGGGGGGGCTTCATCCTGTCAACCCTGAAAGACACCGGCTTGGGGATGTCGCCACAGCTGAATTGGCTTCAAAGCTGAAGTAGAGAGTTCCAAATCCATGTTTACATCCTTGCCCATGGAGGAACAATCGTAAATGATTTGATGTATATATGAAACTGCACAAACGTTATTTCACATAAAAATCAGACTCTTCCACAACTCCAGCAAACAGAAAATTGTTATGAAACAAATCTCTGAAGTTTGATTAAACAAAAATGCATGGTACTGTCCATGTGGTTCAAATGGATGTCTGATTTCCGGATATTTCTAACCATGGGTCTGATGACATTCACCCTCATCAATACATTTAAAAAGAGGGACAAAGTAGGAGAATAAATGTGGGACACAGGAGCATGACAGCTGCTTCTGTTTAAGGGCTGATTCCCAATTTTATCAATAAAGTTAGTGGGTTAATAATCATAAGAGGGAGACAAAGAACCCTTGATCACCTTCTTTGGTGACTGTCACCTCAAAACTCTCTAAAGGGAGAGAAGATAAACCTGTGTCAGTAATTCAGGAAAGAGTGGAGACGGAACAACAAGGAAATTAAGTCACATATTACACAGAAAAGCTTGACATACAATTAACAATACGCTCAGCGGCCACCTACTACAATCCCCACAGCCAAGCTGGATCCTCTAGCAAAATGTTACTTTGAGTGCCACTTACCATCAGCTACTGTGTACAGTTTAAATAACACTAATTTAGAGATAAGTGTTGGTGTAGAACACCTGGAGGACCGTAGTTGAGACTGTTAATAAGCAGACATTTGGAACAAAGGATTTTAACTCTTTGTTCTTCTTCTTCTTCTTTTTTGAGGGGGTACTAGGGATGAAACTTACAGCCTTGCATGTGCCAAGCAGGTGAGTATGCCACTGAGCTAAACCCCTGGCCTAACCCTTTGTTCTTACCAACACCAGTGGTTTCTCATCTAAAGCACCCACCGAGGGAACAAGTCTGAACCCTCTGCTGGTAAACACTGGCTTGATGGGAAACAAAAAGGGCCGAAGCCAGCGGCAAGGACACCACATGGACTATGGCTTTGCAGAAACACCTCTCCCCAGGTCAGCACAGCTCCTGCAGCCACGCCGGTGACCAGCAGAGGGCAGAGCTGAGCACGTGTGCCCTTGGCCATCTCCTCTCCCCCAAGGCAGCACTCTCCAAATTCCTTTGCTTTTTTGAAGATTTTGCCATTATTTCCCCTGAACAGAGCTGTTTCATTTTGCACGACTTAAAGGTCTTTAAAATGGTACCAAGTGACACGCAGTGTTTGTGACTTGTTTTCTATACAACCCTGAGTATGGTCAGATGCACTCACCCTGGCTGCTGTATGCTTTACCCCTTTCCACTGCTACCTACGCGTGCGAAGCCCGTGAATTAAAACATGCAGCATGCTTAAAACACTGCTTGTCATAAGGAAAGCATCTGACATGTCTGCTGTTACCACCGTCTTCCACTTACTCTTCTCTCTATAAGCTCAAAGCAACCCTCCTGCCTCAGCCACCCAAGTGCTGGGATTGCAGGTGCGCGCACCACACTGGCTTACTATCACCATTTCTCACTGTGTGACTGTGCGATCATTTCAACTCTTTCTGCTACTGATGAACCATACTGTGGCAGTATTTCTGTCCCTGTTTCCTCCTCCTAGACATGAACAAGACAGCCTAGATCTGTGTGTTGCCTGAGGTGTTGGACAGCAGCCACACAGAGCTGTTCACATCTAAACTAAAACTCAGGCTAAAATGAAACAGTACTAGACTTTCATCCCCTCGGCCACACTAGCTCTAGCCTGCATGCTTAGCACAGCCGTGCACCACCAAGCTGGCTGGTGACGCCCGCCTGCACACAGAGCCACAGCACCCAGGCTCACCACGACAGCTGGTTTCATTCACCGCCTCGCAGCGCAGGCTCTGCAGATGTGGTTTCTGGGTTGAACTCAGCCCATGCCTGGCCCTGAATTGCCCAGATGCCAGAATGGGCTTTTATCTATTCCAGTAGTTTGGGATGGGTACAATGGTGCCCAGCACTGTGGGAGGCTGCAGCAGGAAGGCCACAAGTTTGAAGCCAGCCTGGGCAACCTGGTGACTTTTTTTTTTTTTTTTTTGTCTTTTTCATTTTTATCGGTACCAGGGATCGAACTCACAACCACCTGCTTGCAAGGCAGGTGCTTATGCCGCTGAGCTAAATCCCCAGCCCCACAACCTGGTGACTTAATGAAACTTTGTCCCCCAAAAAAATATGAAAAGCTCGGGCATGTAGCTTAGTACAAAGGCCCTGGGTTCAGTTCCTCCTAAAAATATATTTTATTTCATGAGAAAATTATAATAAAAATTCAAGTATCAGTCTCTATCAATAGTTTTTTTTTTTTTTTCTTTTTTTGAGACAGGAGACTCTCGGGGTGGGGCCAGTGTAACAGAGGGGCTGAGTCCAGCTCTAGGAGCGCCAAGTACACATTGGCCAGAGGATGGACACTGGCCTGAGCGAGGCATGGACACAGCCACTGCTGAATCACATCCTGGGTGCACTTCTGAGAAGACCGGGTCTTGCTATACAACGTTACTCAGGCTGGCCCTAAACTCCTAGGCTTAGGAGTCCTCCTCCGCAGCCTCCCCCTCAGCTGGTGACAAGCAAAGCCCTTGAGAACAACTCGCTGAGGGCTGCGCAGAAGGAACAGCTCGTCCACCAGCTGCTGTACACACACTGGTCTTTCCTTTGAGGAATACGGCTGGGAAGAGGGCGGGGGTTTCCATCCCAGACTGCAGTGTTCCCAGTGACATGGGGTCCAGGCAGGGAAGCAGGAATGAATTTGTTGCTACCCAGGTGGAATTTGGGACAGCGGGGCAGCAAGGCAAAGGGCAGGTGCACTGAGACCCGCCACCTCCCTGGTGCATCCAGCTGGAGACAGTCGCACGCATCACGGGGCTCAGGTCCCTGTTCCCAGCACACAGGCCTTCTGTGACGTCTCACGCTGCGAGTGAGAACTCTCAGGATCGCTGCTCACATGTGATAGCTTTCTGCCCAGTTCCTCTAAACCCCTAGAGAGGTTCCAATTTCTCAACCGACCTAAAGCCCCACTTGCAGACTGGGGTTTAACTGTGGTGGGGGGGGGCCTCACCTAGCACAGGGGAAGTGCTAGGTCGCATTCCAAGAACTCCAGACTTGGCACTTGTGGCAGAAACATGTATCCCCCTCTTACCTGCTGTCTTGGGGACTGACCGGGAGCACTGGGCTCCTCCCAGAGGGGTCCTGCCCACTGTCTGAACCCTATCATCGACGCCTGTCCCCCTTGGCCCTAAAGCATGAACCTTCCAGCCTCCATGCCCCACAGTGCTGGCCTCCCCTTCCACCCAGGTCAATAGGGCTTGGAGACAAAGACAGCCCCTGAGCCTTCTGTAAGTACCTGGCAGCTACAGATCCCTACGAAGGCCCACCACTGAACACCGCCACTCATGGGGGCTCTGGCTACAGCTCAGGTTACACCAGGTAACACTACTGTCTGTTCGGGTTATTCCTGTTTTCCACCCAAGGAAAGAGTATTGTTCCACTAGCGAGGACCAACATGAGAGGGACAGACAGACAACATCACTATCACAAGGGTCATGCAGCTGACAGACATGCTCTGAGCCAGTTTTCTCATCTGAAGATGGGGACAGTGACAGCACAGCCCAGAGCCCGAGCCACCATCGGCACTTGGTATCAGCTGCTTGCCCTACAGCAGAGCTGCACTAATGCAACCTCACAGCCAAAGCTCAAAAGCCAGTCCGGACCTGGCCTGTCTTATGCCACAGTTACTGTAAGACACTGAGGAAACGGAACACTGTGAAGACAGAAAGATATTTCGTACTGAATATTAAGTGAAAACGTGTTTCTAGGAGATTCCACTATTAATAATACCAGCAGCAGCAAACACTGTACTTCATACTCTGCTTGGGGATTTTTCTTTCCCATGTGCACATGTGTGTGTGCTGTGCAGACAGGAGACCCAGGGCCTGTGCATGCTGGATGACCACTGTAAGTTCTGCGCACATGAGTAAACAGCTAGCATCCTCGAAGCCTATGAGGTTTGTGAGGTATGTGTCCCTTCACGATGATCAACATGCAGCTCAGAGAGGGAACTTGGTGATGTAGGAAGACTTAAAAGAGTTTTTAAATGGGCTGGAGATGTAGCTTGGTGTGAAGATCCTCAGACCAATCCCCAGTACCAAAGGAAAAAAAATCTAGGTAATCAGACCGATACGCAAAGCTACACATGATTTTAAATCTGGAAGGAAAACACATGGAAATCACCCGGGCAACTACATGAACACTGTGGCGTGCGTGGTACAGAGGCCTCCCCTTCGGTCCCCGACCCGACCCCTCTCTGACACCCAGCAACAGGCACAGCCCACGGGCGCTCTAGCCCCAAAGACTCAGCAGAGCTGGCGGCCAGGCCCTCTGCAGTGGGAGGTGCGCCTGAACAGAATCAAGTATGGCTTTATTTTGAATTCTTTCTTCAGCAGCAACCTCACAGTCACTGCCTTACATTGGAGAATGAAAGTCTGACACAGGTTTCATTGGTTTGATTCAGTTTTCTTTTGTTTTGCTTCTGCTTTTCGGTTCCGAGGCTTGGGCCCAGGTCTTCACACAGAGAAATTCCCGGCCTGTTTGGTTTTTCACTTTGAGCAGGGTGTGATGGGTTAGATCTAAATGTCCCCATATCACATGGGCCCCTAGGTTCACAGTGGGACTTTTGGAAGGTGACTCTTTGTGGGAGAAGCCACTGGTAAGCTGCAGCTGATTGCGCTGTCCAGAGGCGGCCTCTAGGAACGTGACCAGGGACATCGTGCCCCAGCCCACAGCCTCCTCCTCCCTCTGCTTCCTGACTGCCACGGGTGAGCAGCTTTCCTTTGGCACCCGGCTCAACCAAAGCGTTTCTGCCTCAGAGCCACAGCCAGGGGCTAAAACCATGAACCAAGCAAACCTTCAGTAGCAGGTGTCAGGTATTTTGTTCCAGCAGTGGGGTTTACACAGGGTCTTACTAAATTGCCCAGGCTGGGCTTGAATTTGTGATCCTCTTGCCTCAGCCTCCGAGAATGTCAGGATTTCAGATACGCACTATCACACCCAGCTAGAGGGTACATTTTATACAAGTTCATCCAACTGTTTTTATCTGCAAACAGAACATTTGTCAACAACAGAAGTTTTGATCTGGAAAAAGTTCATGTGAAAACTGCTTTTCAAAAATTAACTGCAAACTGGGTGTGATGGCATATGCCTATAATCCTAGCACTTGGGAGGCTGAAGCAGGAGGGCTGCCAAGAGTTCAGCCTGGGCTACATAAGCAAGTTCTAGGCTAGCCTGCACTACAGAGTGAGATTCTGTCTCAACACACACACACACACACACTAGCTCCATGATGTCTATTCTGACCCTGAGGTCAAGAAGTGTGTGGCAGCACTGTATCATTCTCCGAGAACAGATGTTACAACAGTGCATGTGACACAACAGCAGCTCTGACCGAGAAAGGACTCTGAAGTGCCACCAGCACAGACAGCTGTCCTGTGATGATCATCTCCATGCTGTCCCACCCTTCCTTTCCATAAAGACACAGGTTACCGTCCTTTTGTTCTTCCTCCTCTGGGACTGGGGATGGAACCCAGGCTTCATACATTCTAAGTGAGTGCTCAACGACTGAGCTAAAACCCTCAGCTCTCTATTTTAGAGACAGGAGCTCAAGAAGTTGCCTAGCTGGCCTTAGACTTGCAATCCTTGTGCCTCGGCCTCCTGAGTGGCTGTGATTATAGGCACATGCCACCAGAAGCATCTTACTTTTAATATTCTTAAACTGAGTTACTTCATAAAAATAAAGTCTGTGTCTGGCTGGGCACTGTGCTCCGTGCCTATAATCCCAGTTACCGAGAAAGCTGAGGCAGGAAGAGCACAAGTTCAAGCCAACCCTGGGCAACTGACCAAGACCTTGCCCCCAAAATAAAAAACGTTAAAAGGGCTGGGATGCAGCTCAGTCCAGCAGTCCTGGGGGTTAATAACCAATACAGGAAAAAAAATAACCCATGCAAAAGCATCTCCATAGAGACTACTCAACTTTCTTCAGATGTCACTGTGGGTCACAGAGACTGAGGTGCTGGAGTCCCAGACCCCCAACGCCAGGGTCCAGCAGCATCAGGGTCTCTGGGGGCAGTGAGGGCGGGGACGAGCACACCTGAATGTGCAGCTGAGTAGCTGGCCACCACGTGTGCACTGAGGCTGGAGTCCCACTGCTCCAGATGTTACCTTGCTCACCACAGGGAGGCACTCACCATCGAGGAACAGAGCTGCATGATGTCATTAAACTAAATACCTGCTTTTCAAGGACCAGAACAGCTGGCATCCACCAGCCTGACTAACAAAAGAAGTCGTGCAGTGCCTAGAAACATAAGCAGCTGCCAGCTCTCAGGAGCCGTCAGACTGCTCTGAGCGCTGGAATGCGTGAGAGTCCACCGTCACCTCCCGCCCCGCCCACCCAGGAAGACAACTTGGGCAGCGCCTACCTGCAAAGCGCAGCGGCGCGTCCTTGTCCAGCGCGATCAGGGGCGGATCCAGCAGCACTGTGTTGTCGTTCTCGGTCACAATCCCGTGGTAGGTGGGCTCCAGCCAGGGCTTGTGCTTGTTAACTAGGTTTTGAAGGAGAAAACAGGCCAGGTTAGAGTTCCTGTTTCACGCTCCACCACCTTGGAAGATGTACACGGATTTGGCTTTGGCGTTCACCTGTGCTGGTATGGGCACTCAGGCACACATGCGCTAGGCAAGCACCCAGCTGCACCCCAGGCCCGCCCCAGCCTGCATCTACTGTTACAACTCTCATCCGGTCAGACAGCAACAATCACATTTTTGTTATAGTATTTGGTATCGAGACTGAAACTGCATGAAATTGTAAATTCTAGAGTAAACACTGTAGAAATCATCCGAATCCGTGAAGCAATTGGAAGAAAGACTGGGCATGGTGGCACACGCCTGTAATGGGAGGCTGAGGCCAGAGGGTCACTTGGAGCTCAAGGCTAGCCTTGGCAACAGAAGTGAGTCAAGGCTCAGCGAGATCTCATCAAGAAGAAAGAAACTGCTCCCAAAATCAAGTAAAAGGAAAAATCAATGGCTATAAGTAAGCTCAAACTACCACTGTTTTTAGGCCATTACAGAAAATTTACAAAGAAAAAATGCTTTTACTTCTTCACTACAATTAGGTGCCAGGGCATTATCTAAAATTAGCAATAGAAATAAAAATGCAAACAGATGCAGTAAAGACAATATTTATAAACACCAAATGAAACTAAATGCAGAATTTCTAAAAAAAAAAAATGATCCGCTTTGGAGGTGGCTGACCTAGTGTCAGCTCTGTGCTCCCTCTACTCCACGCCTCACAACCCCAGAACAGCAGCTGACCTCCTGGCTTGACCGCCTCCTCTAAGACATGCTCCCTTAGGTCCCTGGCGAAAGGCAGTCTTCCCTGACACTGGGCACAAGGTCAGCACTGTTCTTGGGCCCTGCTACTTTAACTCTGCATGCTGTGCTTAGCCATGCTCACGGCCCCCAGGCCTGGGCCACGTTTCCGCAGACTGTGACACTGACCCTAGCTGGCTATGCCCAGCTTTCTGAGGTCACCAGCTCAGAGCTGCTGGTTTTCCTTGTCCACTCACCTGCTCACCCACACACCTGTCATTCTAGCACTCTGAGAGGCTGAGGTAGGAGGATGGCAAGTTTGGGCCCAGTCTGGGTGAGACTCTATCTCAAAAAAACATAAGAGGGCTGGGATGTAGATCAGTGCAGGGGCCTTGGGTTCAATCCCTGGAATCACAAAAGAATTCAAAACCACAAGTAATTCCAGACAAAACCAATTCCTGTCATCACAGCTGCCAGGCACCAACCTTCCTCCTCTCCCTTGCTGCTGCCTGCACATCAGGATCCTGGCCACTTACAGAGGAAAAGTCTCATGCAGGGCCCGGTGGTGCCTGTGTATGCAGCTCTCTCAGCCAGTTTCTATACACTGCCCAGGCTGACCTCAAACTCCTCAGCTCACGTGATCCTCCGGCCTCAGTCTCCGAGTTGCTGAGACTGCATGCATACTCACCACTGGGTTCTAAGGCCTTAAGTTTTTGCAAACCTCCAAGTGGGCTGATTTAACAGGAAACAGCTGGGTTCTCGCTGCTACCCACCCCCCTGCAGGCAGTGTATGGTCTCATTACCAGCCACAGAGCCCCCAGAAACAGAGCTGTCCTGAACTCAGTGTTTCTGGAGAGGGTGGGGAGGGCACACAGTATCTCAGTGTCATTAAACAGTGCTGACCTCTAGTGCCGAGGGTCTCAAGGCAGCATCCTCACTTCTCTTTGGTCTCTGGCCTCACTTTGAGGCCACTTATTTTGGGTTGGTACGATGCGGGCTTTACCTGGGGGAGGGGGTGCTTCTGGCAGGTGCCAGGTGGATGTTCCACACAGGGAAGCCCGAAAACCCAGAGGTGCTGTGTGAGCCAAAGAGGTCAAGAAAGCCTGAGGAGAAGGTTAACCACAGTCGTAATCATGAGGGACCCCTCTCCACGCCCAACACAGATCACAGAGACCAAGCAGCAAAGCACCTCGGAAACATCTCCGCCCCCAGGAGTTGCTCTGGGACCAGAGAGCTGGTGATAAAGAACTCAGAAGGTGGCAGCACCACTGTCCCACTCTGGGGCAGCACCAAGGAGGCAGCTGGTGGCGTCACTGGGACAGGCAGCACGGCCCTGCTGAAGGTGCGACAGCCTCCTGGGCACCAGGGTGGGGCCTCTGCGTCCTCTCCGGGTAATGGGGACTGACTCCAGGGCCTCTGTACCAAGTTGCCTCCAGCCCTGTTTGCTATGTTGAGACAGGGTCCCACTAAGTCAGAAAATTGCCAGGTTGGGCCTGAATTTACATTTCTCCTGCCTCAGCCTCCCAGAGTCCTGGGATTATGGGTGTGCACCATTACCTCTGGCTTCCGGGTGTCTTCTCCAGAAAACCACACTATGACACAGCCGGGACACACCTGGAGTGACTGACGTGAAACAAGCAAGCTGTTTCACAGAAGAACGTCCTCTGAACAGCACCGCGGACTGTCACCAACTTTAATTTGTCATTAATATTTGAGCCGGAGATTTAGCTCAGCAGCATAAACACCTACTTGGCAAACATGAGGTCGTGAGTTCAACCCTGGTGCCAAAAAAAGAACACTATTTGAAGCCATGTGGAACAGGAACAGGAACAGGAAGAGAAATCAAGAAGCCAAAGCACGCCCTCCTGTGGGCCAGCTAGCACTCAGGCTGGGAGAACAGAAGAGCAACATCAATCTGTGTCCTGCCTTAACACCCCGCCCCCGCACCCCACGCAACTGGCTGATTCCGAGGGGCTCAGGCTAAGATGACAGCAAATGAAGTAAAAAAAATAACTCAATGCTGTGGTGTCTGACTGACTTTGCAGGCCTAATGCTGGTGGCCTGAGCACCTATTTGGAAGATAACAATAGGCATTATAGCAACTGTGAGGGATTTCCTTCTGTCTTGCTTTTGAAATCCAATGTTTTGTTCTGTTGCATTGTTTTGTTTTATTCTTGTATCTGCAAGCCTGAGCAACTATTGTGAAGATAACAATATACAATATAACAACCATTCTTAAGTTCCTATCATCTTGTTTTGAAAACCTATATTGTTTTCTGTTATTGCTGTTGTGGTAGTTTTGCTTGTTATTGTTTTTTTGGTTAGTTGCTTATTGATTTTTCAGGGTTTTTTTTCCCCTTTAAAATAAAGAACAATATTTGATTCCTATTTGTTTCCAAACTTTAAAAGGTTTTATTAATACAAATATGAACATAATGAAACATTCTAGTATTTGAGTCCATAAAAATTCTGACAAACTAAAGGAGACTGACTTTAGTTATACAAGAATGAAAAAAGATAAAGCAGTGCAAACTGCAGAAAACCTATGATAAATGATTAATAACACAATGTGTGATCTGCCACCTACGGGAAAGGCTGCAGGTCTCTCCAGGAAATGGGTAAGGGTTGTATGTGGGGTGACTCTACAGTTATATTTGCAGTCACCCTCCCTCCAGTATTCTCATTTTATAATTTAAAATTTCTACACTGCCCATTTAAATTGGCAGCAGAATGAAGATCTTTGGCCAGTTCCAGAGACTGAACTTTTTCAATATTTAATGAATGGTATTTTTAATATTTCATTACATTCAATTTGCACTATAAAACATTTATAGAAACAGGTGATTGATGTTTGTGTAATCAGCCCTTTGAAAAACAACTCACAAAGACAACTGACTGCCAGCAGGTGGTCTAGGAATAAAAGTCACCTGTGTTACAAATCTACCCCTCACGCATCTCATCTCATTCTCCATAGTTAAACTCCAGCTACATTTCAAACAACACAGCACTAACTTAAAATACAGAACAGCAACGCTGTCAGTCAGATCCTTGGTAAGTGTGAGGCTTATCTGGGACACACACACCTAATACTTGTGGACATGACGATCCTTTATGGCTGTGGTAGATTTTAATTTTGTTTCAAGACAAAACAGTATAATAGTTAAACTTCAGCCTTAACCTTAAATATAAAAATTAAGCCAGCATTGGTGGCGTTTTGTCTATAAACCCAGCACTCTGGGAGGCTGAGGCAGGGAGGATCACAGGTTGACACCTAGCCTGGGCAATGTAGTGGTTTAGTTAGACCATCTCAAAATAAAAAATGGGCCGGGGATGCAGCTCATCGCAAAAGCCCTGGGTTCAATCCTCAGCAAAGCAAGTACAGAACACAGTCGTGCCTCCTGGGCCTAGGGATGTACCTAAGTGGTAGAGCCCATGCCTCGCAGGGCAGAGCACTAAGTTCCATCCTCAGCACCACGGCAGGTAGTGATAAAGTTAGGCATCCCGAGCACCCATGGGCTACGGAGGAGCTGGTCCCTAAACCAAGCCACACGAGCAAGAGACTTGGCAGGTTGGCTCCGAAGTCTCCCCAGGCAACGTGGCACCCTGATATCCACCAGTACCCCAAATCACTCTCTTCTGAGCTGCTCGTGCATATGGAGAAATCCAAACTAGAATCTGAGGTGCGCCTCTTAGTTTAGAAGACATAGGTGGTCATATGGTTCCTTAAATAATGACCGCTGATTATTTCAGATTTTGAGGGTATTTCACCTGTGAATCCTAGACTTCAAAAGAAATCTGCAATTAAGGAATACTGCCACCAGGTGGCGAAAGTTACCTTTGGTGACATGCTCCAAATTACTCAGCTTCAGTTAAAAATCCCACTAGCTACTCACTAAAGGAGCGTTCCCAGATCCTCCGTTGAGGTCATTTCACAGAAAGGTGTCTTAGGCTGTGTTTAGAATTGCCAGCTGATCTTTTATCCCCTCAAAACACGCTTTAAATAATACGGTAGCCATGCAGTTCCAAAATCGAAACAGAAGGCATGGCTCATTCTGACTCTGAGTACTGCCCCCAGTCATAGGTTCTAACTAGGATCAGACCAATCCCCCTCCCTGGTCCTTCTAACCAGTGAACACCCCAGTCCCTTCCGCTTCTCCCGGCTGCTGATCGTGCTTGCCTGACATGGACACACTTTCTGCTCCCAGCGGGGAACCTCACTGGCAAAGGCAGTGGCTGACCACAGCTGCAAAGAGGCCCCCGTGACGAAGCTGCCAACCCTCCAACACTGCTTCTCCCCATGCAGGGGGGAAGTATGAGTGCTTGGTGGGGTGAAGGCACGGACATGGCTGCTCACATAATGGGCCAGAACATGTCACAGGCCTCACCTTCTCAAGGGCAACTGCACAGGTGTCGGACACAGAGCCAGGCAGAGCCTGGTGGCTGACACACCTGCAGCAGTGGCAGGAGCACAGGCGGAGACCTGAGAGATGTGCTGCGACACGGGCTCCAGGGCCAGCAGAAGCACTGCACCCTGCATCTGCCAGGCCGTGGTGAGAAGCGCAAGACAAGGTCCAATGTCTGGCTCTGAGCACACTGGAAGGTGCAAAGGGACCCGTGATTTGGGTGGCACTGGGAAGCCCTCTCCTTCTCCACCCTGCCACACTCTGACTCTGCAGCTCACAGCAGCTGTCAGAGTTTCCCAAGGGTGAGGGAGAAAGGACAGGAAGCTTACAATAAGCACAACGGTGGCTAATGTGTGGATTCTGCTTCTCACTCACTCTGTAAATGGGAGGTTCTGTTGTTTGTGTTTTATTTGCTTGTAGTGCTGAGGACTGAACCCAGGGCCTGGAGCCTGCTAGGTGGTGCTAGAAGCAGATCATTCAACCAGCCAGACCTGAATGGGTATCACAAGTCAGGAGCAGCACCAAAAGCTGGGCCTTCCTGCTGTGAGGAGGATAGGGTGGTGAAGGCCCCTCTGCACGTCTTGATAAATTAATCGCAAGCGTAAATTCAGTTTCAGAAATAACTGAGCTGGGAGAGTGTGGGGCTAAGCAGGCTCCTGGGCTTACCTAGTCGAGTGGTTCCCATGGCCACCTCCCAATTAGCACCTCCTAAATATGTAACTGTGGCTGAAGCAAGTCCCCGCTCTCCAGCCCTTCGGGCCTTTACCCTTTATTCAGCAAAGAAGGGAAGCAGTATTTTGCAGTGATACTATTAAGCATTAAAACCAAATGAACAACAAAAATCTTTTTAACAAAAGAGAAAATTTTAGCCAACCAAAGTAGCACAAACATGAAATGTATACACACCAATCTCCTTTACACCTGGGGCCACTCCCAGTAACAGCTTCTGTGAGGACAGCACCGTTTCTCTCTGCTTGGAAAAAGTATCTATCAGTAATGCTTTTCCTGAAACCGAACACTTTTAAAGAATCTCCATTCTGTGAGCTCGTGTTTAAAGCCTGAGTAAACCTGGCTTCAAGTAAACCTGCACGTCACTCCTCCAGTACACACTAGACACTGCTCTGACCAGTAGGCCAGATCTGCACTAGGACATCCCAGGCTAGACACTGCTGATGAGGGGCGTCCTGGTGCCTCTCAGGGTGCTCTGCAGCAACTTTGGCCTACTGTCATTAGAGGTGCTGCCAACACCTCTGCCACCTGGGATGACCAGCGCTGTCTCCAGACACTTCCCAGGACCGTGAGCGCCCCTCTCCCTGTCCCCTAAAGAACCACAGCCTTGGATCTGCCTCATTAAAGAAATTCAGTGTTTTCCACATTATAATTACCTGCAAACTTGGAAATAGCCAACTTCATAACGTATGTGTATTACTTCCATGTGACAGTAATTTTTAATTTGTAAAAACAATTCAGCATGAAATAGATCCTTAAATCAGTCAAGCACTTAATTGTCCCAGTAGCACAGTGAAACCTGTCCTGTGTTCACCATGCTGGTAACAAGCACTGAGCATCACACCAGCTACATCCTGTGATGTCCAAGGCATCAGGCATGGTGGGGATGGATCTGAGCCAGGCCCTCTGGGAGGAGTACACAGCCCCAGAAACCTGTCCTCGCAGTTGTCACTGCTAGCCCAGCTCATCGAAGTGACCTGGGAGAGGGCCAGCCATTAAATGCTACGAGAAAAGCAAGTGCAGGGTGAAGAAGAGCTCAGAGGGGTTTTCTCTTGGTGGAGACCCCACCCTGAGCCCTAGGAGCAGGGAGAGAGCAGCCAGGCACAGCCAGGAAAGGAAGAATCACAGCCTGCCGTTTGGAGTCCAGGCTTCTACAGCAATGGGCTGGGGGCAGCTGTCCCAGCTGGGACTGAAAGTTAAGGAGGGATGGCAGGGCAAAGGGGAATCCCGGGGCTGGGGATTTAGCTCAGCGGCATAAGCGCCTTCCTTGCAAGCAGGCAGTCGTGAGTTCAATCCCTGGTACCGATAAAAATGAAAAAGACCAAAAAAAAAAAGGGGGGGAATCCCAAGGAAAGGTTGAGGTGGTCTGAGGGTGTCCCCCAGCATTCTCAGGCTGGACACTGACCCCCAAGTTCCTAGGCTGATAGGTCACAGACAGGGCCTCCAGGAGCCACAGATTAGTTAAGGCAAGGAGGGTACAGCCCTATGATGGCATGAGCAGCTCTGTGAGAGGAGGAGTGAGCTGGCACTATCCCCTCTCTCTCCAAGTGAGGTCCTTGGCCATGTTATGCAGCAAGAAGCCCTCAGCAGATGCCGCAGCTTGGTATCGAAACTTTCAGCCTACAGGACTGCAAAATAACCAATGTCTTTTGCTTACAAATAACCTGGTCTCTGCTGTTGTTATAAACAAGCAAAAAAAAAAAAAAAAAAAAAACTGCACAAACACAAAGAGCTCTCCTTTCTTCCTTCTGGCCACTCACCTAGCTGCATCCTTACAGGACCCCAGAAAGACTCCTAGAAACTAGGAACCTGCACAGCAGAGCAGCCAGTGAGAATGCTAACTTGGGGGCGGGGAGTACTCCCTGACAGTCTGTGCTTCACAGGCACAAGGCCTAGGGTTCCACTCCCTGCACCCCTCAAAAAATTATTTGCAACCACATCCTGTAAAAAATTCCTACAATCTAACTTTTGAAAGATTAAACTTTAGCCTTCTAATTTTTCCTTCAAATTTCAAATAACTGCTTTTTCAACATTATGATAGTTGGGCGTGGTGGCTTCTGTAATCCCAGCCCTCCGGAGGCTAAGGCAGGAGGATTGTTGCAAGTTCAAGATCAGCCTGGGCTACAAAGTGAGCTCAAGGCTAGCCTGAACTGCATAGCGAGACCATCTCAAAAAGACAAAAAAATTACGATAAAATTATACAACTTACAGTTTATCATCTTAACCTTTATTTTGGCTGCTATTGGAAACAGGTTTCTCATCATGTTGCTCATGCTGGCCACAAACTGCTGGGTTCTATCTAACCTCTGACCTTGCACCCCACAGAGCTGGGACTATAGGCAGGGCCACTACACCAGTTTAAACCAATCCCCTGCCCGAGCTACAAACTGAACCCAGGAGTTTGTGTGTGTTAGGTGAGCACTCTACCTTGGGGCTACATCTCCAGCCCTTTTAAAACATTTTGCCTTTACATGCCCAGCTGGGCTCATACTTGTAATTCACCTGCCTCAGCCTACAGAGTAGCTCGGATTACAGGTGTCCAACGCCACACCCAGTAACCTTAATTGTTTTTAAGTGTCCAGTTCAGTACACTGCTGTTTTTTGTTTTTTGTTTTTTAAAAAGGACTGGAGAGCGCCCGCGGGTCTCGAACCACCGGACCAATTGGTCCGGGCGGTTGGGAAGCCAGACTGGAAGGAACCGCTGGGCTAAAGCCAGCCCTACACTGCTGTTTTTGCAACCATCATCCCCAAGCCTCTCCAGGACTCCTCTCGGTAACAGTGAATAATTTAGCATTCCTCCCTCCTGGCCCGTGGCAACCACCATTCTATTCTACTTGCTGTCTCTAGCTACCTCATGTAAGTGGGATCACACAGAGCTTGTCACGGAGTGGCTGCTTCATCATATAAACCCTCAGGCTTCATCTATATGTACTCTGACCAGTATTCCATTGTACTGTCCACTCACCCACGGATGGTCACTGGGTTGCTTCCTCTCTTTGGTGGTGACAGGACAATGCCACTGTGAGCATGGGTGTGCACGCATCTCCTGGGACCCTGTCTCCATTCTCTGTAAATACACCCAAAGGAGAGCAGCTTGGTCCCACGGCAGTTCTACCTGTAAGTTTCTAAGGAACTGCAGGGCTGTTTCCCCAGTGACAAAACACTTTACATCTGCACCAACGGTACGCAAAACTACCAGTTTCTCTACTTCCCTGTGAACATTTGTTTAACAATAACTAGATGTGATCAAATAAATTATATATTGAATAGTTTTACATTTTGATGCTATGTGAAAAGTGTAACATGCAAAAGGTGACAGAGTAGAATGGATTCCATGAACCTACCACTCGGCAACTACAGCAACCAATACAGGGCCACCCCCGTCACTAATTACAACTACTTTCTGTTTTTGTCTCTTTTTTTCCAATTTTTTTAATGGTACTGGGAATTGAACTCACGGCTGCAAGCATTCCAGGCAAGTGCTCTGCCACTGAGCCACCTCTTCAGCTCCTCAATTATTTTTAAACAAATTCCAGTCATGTAACTTCACTCCTTAATACTTCAACACACCTCTCTAAAAGACAATTCCTTCTAAAACTAACCACAAAGGTATTACTGCCTAAAAAGCTCACTGTAATTATTTAACATCACTCAATGTTTACTTAAGCCGGATGTGGTGGCTCAGGCCTATAATCCCAGGAGGCGGAGGCAGCAGTATTACTGCATACTGGAGACCAGCCTGGGCTACAAAGTGAGCTCAAGGCCAGCCTGAACTGCACACTGAGACCCTATTTCAAAAAGACACACACACACACACACATACACACAATTTACTTGGTATCCGTATGATCTGACCATTTTGGAGTATGAAGTAATTTATGTTAATATACACATCTCCATGTAGTGTGTGCCATTTAACTCAATTCTGCTATGAAAAAAAAACTGTAGCACCAATAACCCCGAATGATGATGCTTTACAGGTTTCTGCAGCTTTGCCAATTCTTGTTCACTCCTATGGATTTAGCAGGTTCTGCAGATGTTTACCAAGTCGAGATGGTTCATCCCGCCTCCCGATGTACTGGAAGTCCTCTCGTGGAGGAACGGCATCTTACCCAATGCCAGCTTCCCAAAGATCTCTGTGAGCTCTTGCACGTAAGCCTGTTGGCCCACCCACCTGAGTTCTGAAGGCTCAAACAGCCTTGTGTTTGGGGGACGAACTCCATATAGCCAAGGTATAATGATTCTTCTTACAGAGCATTGGATTTGAATTTCTAATATTTTGCTAGAAACTCTTTCTAACCACTTTCCCAAGCTTGCCATTTGAAAAGAGTCCTGTTTTGATCTGAAAGTCTTACTCATTTGAATACGCCCCGTTTTGCACAATCAACATCAGATCCAACACATTTACAGCACGCCAGTCACTAGTCAGGCACTGTGTGTCACTTTGCTTATCATCAAGACTGATTCTTCTAAAAGCATCATTTAGCTACACGATTAGCAAAGAGACAGCAACTGTCACAATGTTATTTTTGAGAAATCAGGGTGTGATGATCACAAATGTGCTTTTAAAAATCACAATAAAAAGAAGTCAAGTGGAACTAACATTTCTGCTGTCAAGTCTGGCTGAAATGGGAGTGTCCCCAGAGCTGAGACAAATGCAGTACCTGCAAGTCTATGATTCCGCAATTCCAGCACTCAGCAGGCTGAGGTAGGAGGATCGTGGCAAGTTCAAGACCAGCCTGGGCTCCAACGTGAGGTCAAGGCCAGCCTGAACTGCTTAGTGAGACCCTTTCTCAAAAAGATAAATAAAATAAAATAAAAGCCTATGGTTCAAGCATGTTCACAACCTTTCAGACCATACATCCTCTTCAGAAAGCTATCCAAAGCCTTGAACCCTCTACCCCTCAAAAAATGTGCTCACATACCAAACAGTAGGTTAAGGAGCGTCTAACCCCTACAGACACAGTCCTGGTGAAAACTGCTGTTACAAAGCACAGAGTGGAACTGAACTGACCTCAGAAAGCTGGCGTCTGCATCTAGTGCCTCCACATAACTGGAAACCCAAGTGTTTCTTTTATGTGGCTCTAGAACTCACTTGTATTCAAGACTGCAGCGGCACATCTTCCCGTCAGGTCCTGGACACTCCCTCACTACCCAGGACAGCAGCCAGGAAGAACCTGAAATGAGGAGGCCTGCTGCTGCCTTTGGAGAGGGCTTACTGGCTGATGACACAGAGAGGGGCAAGTGACACAAGTTAACCTCATGCTGCCAGGACACAGTCTGGTCTGAATAAAGGCTGGGGCCGGAGAAGCTTCCAGGACTGCTTCCTGATCAGCAGTACAGAGGGGCATCCCAGTGCTCCCTCCCTCAGGAGCCCCTCATGTTTTTAAGATGGAAAGGAAGAGGCATCCATGGTTAAAATGGTAAAGTCCTGCCAGGTGTGGGATTCACACCCGTAATCCCAGCACTCAGAGGCGATCCTCAGTGTGGTCCTCAGTGTGGTCCAGCCAGCCTGGACCACACAGCGAGAAAAGCAAGGGAACACGGTGAGGTTCTAGGTGAATAAAACGGGGCGTGTGGCAAGGCCATATCTTATAAATATTATTCTATTATGAATAGTCCTACATTGAGTAGAATTCTATAAATTACATTTTAAAATGAAAATAAAACTTCAAAAATAGCGAATCAGTTGCGAAGGCAGGTGGGTAGATGAAAGAGTATAAAGGTTTCCTCTTTTTTTGTCTTTTATATGCTATGTTGCCCAGGTTGATGGTGAACTACTGGGTTCAAGTGATCCTCCCGCCTCAGCCTCCTGAGTAGCTGGCATTACAGGTGCATGACGTGAAGTCTAGCAAGGTTCTTTCTTTAAACAAGTTCCAAGGTTATTCCACAGGACAGCCTGAAGATCGGATCTGAGCACACACCATCTACAGCACAGCATAATCACAGCTCCAAACCAGCAAGGACGGCTAGTGTTTATTCCTGCCACTAGGAAAACATGTGTTAGCTCAAAGTGGTCTCCAACAAATGTCCTGAAAAAGCACAGTGTACACTGAGCTGGCAGTGAGGTGGAGCTCAGGGGTACAGCGTGTGCCCAGTGTGAGGTCCTGGATCTCATTCTCAGCAATAGAAACAACCATGCAGAAAGAAGCTACACTCCCTAGTACTAGCTCATTTTTCTACCACTGGAGTGGGTTTTCATCAGTGTTTTTACTTAATTTTCCAAATATCATCTTGACAAACTTTTCTAGAAGCACATAAAAACATGCCCATGGCATGAAGCACAGAAATGAATTACTTTTCTAACTGGGTTACTTTTCAATCAATGTAAGGTTCACCCTGTGAAACTAGCCAGCCAGGAATCAGCAGGCACAATGGAGCTGGTACGGTGGCCAGGTCTCTGAACACCTGGGGCTGGCGAGGCCCTGGCTCCATCCCCGTACCGGGGTGGGCATGAGGCTGCCGCCTGCATCTGCCTTCCATGTTCACTGCCTCTGAGTGTCAAAAACAACTGTCACATGTCCTGAGCGCCTCTCTCATGTCACAAATGTGACATGATAGTCACTGTAGCACAGGCGCCTCATGCCCAGCAACAAGAAAGATTTTCAGTGACAATGGCTTTTGCAGACTCTCACAGGAGTCCCCAAGGTGACAGGTGTAGTCCATATGCACTTAGGAAGGAAGAGGCCTCCCTGGAGTCTGGCTGGGACTCTAGGGGATGAGGACAAGGGTGCTCCTATGCTCAGATGGGTCCTCTGGGTCTTGGGAGCCAACACCCTTCAGCTGTTCCCCCCAACACAGGGAGACCTGGAGCCCCACCCTTAACTACAGGATCCCTAGGGACATTGCAGGCTCTCCACCCTACTCCAGACTCCCAGAGGTAAAGCATAAAGAGCTGTTCGAGCCAGGGGTGATGGTGCTCCAAAGCCTGTAATCACAGCCTTCTGGGAGGCCAAGACAGGAGAGTCGCCGATTTACGATTGGCCTGGGCTGCTGTACAGATCCTCGCTCAAGGAAACTGTGGGGCCTACAGGCCAGCATCCCCAGGAACCGTGGTGGGTGGGCACAGGGACCCTGTAGGATTACAAGGTCTCTGGCCTCTTAGCGCAGGTACTGCAGGGCTGTGAGGAAGGGCAAAAAAGAAAGAAGACAGGGAGAGCTAGAGAAGAAGCAGAGAGCAAAGCCAGAGAAACCTCACCTAATAAAGTGGGTGCCCTGGAGGGCGGAAGAGCAGACCTGCCCAAGCCTCCCGATGTCCCCTGGCCTTTGGGCGACGCACAAGTGCCCCTAGCAGGCTCCTGCCGAAGCAGCTCCTGAACCCCCACCTGGACTTGGACTCAGAATGCCACACACTACTAAACAGAACCACAGAGCCGGCCCTGCTTGCTGTTCACGGCTGTAATTCCACTCTGAGGGAAGCTGAAGCAGGAGGAACCAAAGTTTGAGTCCTCAGCAGCTCAGAGAGATCCTGTCTCAAAATTAAAACTGTCAGGGCTGGGGATTTAGCTCAGCAGCATAAGTGCCTGCCTTGCAAGCAGGCAGTCGTGAGTTCGATCCCTGGTACCGATAAAAACAAAAAAGACAAAAAAAAAATTAAAACTGTCTAACAAGGGCTGGGGGTACAGCTCTACGGCATGGCACCCCGGGTTCGAGCCCCAGGACCCACCGTGTTGCATAAGGCTCACACAGAGGGCCATCACAAGCAGGGGCTCCCCTGTGAGAGGGAGAGCCTAAGACCCGCTTAGCAGTTCCACGCTTGCTGCCTACTGCCCTTCAGAGGGGACGTGTCTCTAACCTTCTCTCCTAAGGTCCTCTGCAGGGGCACCAGCTCTGGCACAGGCCCTGCTTCTGCTGCAGCCATGGCCTCAGCACTGCCACGGAAGGCAGGGCTGCTCTCAGATGTGCGTGCAGCATAGTACCCAGGGATGCAGACCTTGGGTGCCATCTCCACCAGGGCCCAGCCTGCAGCCTCCTGGGAATCCCCACTCCACAACTGGCTTTTCCTCACCACCTTGTCGGCATCAAATCAACACTCCCTGCTCACGCTTCCCACTGCCGCATGGCCCCGCTGACACTGGT